ATTATTAATTTCATTTATATTTAAAAATTATATATAATTCCTATAATTTTTCTAATATTTATATAATTATTCAGAGTGGGCCAGGGTGCACACAGGACCAACAGCTTAAACGTCTCATCTGAAAGAAGGTGCGCTATCGCAAATTGTATTTCAGCCCTCTAGCTGAAATACAAGGAGAGCAGCGATGAGAATTGACTGGAGTAAATAAGATTGTAACAGCTGGTTCAAAGCTTAAAATTGAAACTTACAAATTCACAATGTGAAAAAGATGAATACAATTGTTAATATTACATGCACTTAAATTTTGATTAAATAGCACTAAAGCATGATGGGAAGAAAATATCCAAATTAATGATAGAATGAATTTCATGAAATTTAGTGGTAATAAAAAAATGCGAATGAAATATTGAAGCTTTGACCCCACTTACGCTCTTAACAAACGTTTCTGGGACCTTATCAGATAATCGGGACCGTATAAAAAGTAGTACATCGAAAAAATCACATAGAAAATGCCGAAGATACTGACACGTGTTGTCCCGGTACCAAATATCATGGCCAACGTGATGTAAAACATGTACTGAAAGACTACTGTCTGCAGAGGAGGGTCAGAAACAAGAAACAAAGACGGTAAAAACAACACAGTTATAAGATCAGAATGCATGCAGCTTCAGAATCCTTCTAGATAGTTTTCTCTGCAAATTTCAAAGGTTAGTCAATAGCAAAACAGCATTAGAGATAAAACATATCATTGTGCGCCAACAGAAAATATAGTGATTAAGATTTCAGAAAATAAAACAGTGCATGTGGGTATTGTATCAGATATTAGAACGTATACAGCTGCTAAACACAACACTGACGTCAAACATAAAGATAACGCAAAGTTAATAACGCAATCTTTGTGACAATACATCCTTTGTTCTTAATATAATAGTCAAATAATATTGATATCCAAAGCTGGGCACTCATTGCATCGTACGATGGTTGTATGACCGTAACATGATAAATCCAACTCCGTTACCTGTAAACTCTACACCACGTGACGCCGTCTTGGATTGGATTGGATTTATTCGATGTAAACACTAAAGATAGTCTAGAAGAAGACTTATTTCCAGTGGAGTCCTTCTGGTAGTGATTGGGCAATACACCGGGAGACAATCCCCTACTCTTTTCCGAAGAGTGTACTGCGTTCTTTAACGTGCACATGGGCCATAATGCACACAAGACCAATGGCTTAAACGTCTCATCCGAAAAACGGTGCGCTATTGTAACTTGTATTTCAGCCCTCTAGCTGAAACACAAGGAGAGGCAGCGATGGGAATTTAACTGGCGACCTAGAAATCTCCACGGTTCAGCGCACACACAGTGGCTACTACCAGATTAGCCCACTGAGCTAAGCTGCTCTTCATGCTCTGCATGTCGGTGGCAGTATGAATGAATCATCATTAAAAATGATTTGTTGTGCGCGCGTTGTGGTATCATTATTATTCTTGTTGCGTGCAATGAGTACCCAGCTTGAGAAAAAAAATTTAAGAAAATAAAAGTAATTTATATAAATTACTTTTTTAACATAAAACATTTTAAATCAAACCAAAGGATGCAATATATCACATTTGTTTATACATTTGCAAATAATATGTGAATAATATGCAAATAAAATGCAAATTAATATGCAAATAAGGGGTTAGTGCAGATTAGGCAGCAATCCATGGCTTTTTTTTGTCAAGACATCCATTTTAAAATACTTACAACTTGACGGCCTCAGACATGGGTTTCAGAAGCAAGTTACGACCGAAACCCAAACAGGAAAATGCAATGATCAAGTAGCCTACACCTAGTATATTGGTGTGGCTGGTGGCTGTTATGTAAAGGACAGCCAGGCACACCCAAAAATTGTAGCCTAAAACGGAACTCTGAAGGGGTAATAATGGGATAGAAGAAATGACGAAGTTAGAGAAACAATTATTTTAATGAATATGAACCATTTTTGGAAACTATCAAAATATTTGTATGTTTTTTAAGATAGCATCAGGTTTGGAGAAGGGTAGATAGTGATTTAATGTGTATAAGTTGAGTAGAATTGTGGACATTTCAATTACAGGCTTCTGGGGTCAAATTGTGTGGGATACCAGATCTCAAAACTTTAAACACTTCCACTTTGTAAGCCTTATAATGACACTCAGTTTATAGAGCATCATTCCACTCAATTAAAATATTGTTTAATCTTCAAACATGTCAGTCACCCCATGAAGATTAATAATAAATCACATAAAGATAATGACATGCATATTTCATATTTAGAAAGTTCATATCAGAAAGGTACATGTTAATTCTGTAAGGATAAAACTTGAACTTTTTTTATTATGACTTACAATTTACTACATTAATAAAAAAATCCACATTGTTGTAAATATAATAAAAAACCATAACATACAGTTATGAAAAAAAAAAGACTGTCATATACATGGTAGTATAGATTTCCTGGCATTCAAAATTGACTCAAGATATAATTCAAATAAAAGTCTGAACTATGTATAAGTGGAGGGGGTTAATGTATACAATTTAGTTATAAAATGCAAATTAATATGCAAATAAGGGGTTAGTGCAGATTAGGCAGCAATCCATGGCTTTTTTTTGTCAAGACATCCATTTTAAAATACTTACAACTTGACGGCCTCAGACATGGGTTTCAGAAGCAAGTTACGACCGAAACCCAAACAGGAAAATGCAATGATCAAGTAGCCTACACCTAGTATATTGGTGTGGCTGGTGGCTGTTATGTAAAGGACAGCCAGGCACACCCAAAAATTGTAGCCTAAAACGGAACTCTGAAGGGGTAATAATGGGATAGAAGAAATGACGAAGTTAGAGAAACAATTATTTTAATGAATATGAACCATTTTTGGAAACTATCAAAATATTTGTATGTTTTTTAAGATAGCATCAGGTTTGGAGAAGGGTAGATAGTGATTTAATGTGTATAAGTTGAGTAGAATTGTGGACATTTCAATTACAGGCTTCTGGGGTCAAATTGTGTTGGATACCAGATCTCAAAACTTTAAACACTTCCACTTTCTAAGCCTTATAATGACACTCAGTTTATAGAGCATCATTCCACTCAATAATATATTGTTTAATCTTCAAACAAGTCAGTCACCTCATGAAGATTAATAATAAATCACATAAAGATAATGACATGCATATTTCATATTTAGAAAGTTCATATCAGAAAGGTACATGTTAATTCTGTAAGGATAAAACTTTTTTTTATTATGACTTACAATTTACTACATTAATAAAAAAAATCCACATTGTTGTAAATATAATAAAAAACCATAACACACAGTTATGAAAAAAAAGACTGTCATATACATGGTAGTATAGATTTCCTGGCATTCAAAATTGACTCAAGATATAATTCAAATAAAAGTCTGAACTATGTACAAGTGGAGGGTAAATGTATACAATTTAGTTGACATACCTTGCAAAGGTCCAAATAAGATCTAGAAGAAAAACCAAAACAAATAAATTAGTATGATTTATAACTTCATAAAAAAATGCAGAATACTTTTAATTTCATTCATTTTTGTATCATTATTTCCTTATTACAAACCATTTACGGATACTTTAGAAAAAACTGTGACAGGTTGTTAAATTCATTGAAATAATTTGTTGATGTCAGAGAATAAACAAAAAAATTCTTTAATTATTGTTCAATGATAATGTTCTCAATTAAACTTGTGGTAGCCCCAATAAAGGTAATATATAAGTACTGAAAATATCTGGTTAACTCTTTATTTATAAAAAAACAAAAAAACAAAACAAAACAAAACAACTTCATACTTGTTAAAAGTAAAGTTTGGCACTGGATTTGTGTCTATGTTCTCAACGTCAGTGGCCGCAACATTGTTGTCACCTCCACCAAAACCAGATTTAGATTCCTTTAGGAACACTTGCCACTGAAGACTCACAAACAACAGCTGGAAAAAGTCAGCTAGAAAAAAAAATTCAGTTAAACAGCAGTTGGCAACATGTACAAGAATATAATCTAAACTCGCAATGGAAAATAATATTACTGAGTTGTCGTCTGGTATAGATACAGTGCAGAGAGAACTTTTGTTTAACACAAATTGTATCACAAAATTATTGTTAGGATGGTTTACTTGATAAATATTTGTTTCAAATTCAAATTCTAAGTAATTTAACAATCAAAATCGAAAGTAGTAGAAACACAGGAAAAATACAAGACAAATATTAAGTTAAAAAAATTCAATATACATCTCAATAAGTCATAAAAGTAAATTCAGAAGAAGATTTTTATACAATTAGGTAATTATTAAGATACAAGATTAATATATACATGTTTTCTATGCTTTGACAAAATCTCCAAATAATTGTTGATAGTTTAGTTTGATAAAATTGATTTTCTCACCTATAATAACCTTAGCATTGAGGGGGTTATCATACACTGGTAGGTAAAGCCAAGTTATTAACTCCGAAGGCAAATCATTTGTCGTCCAAATGTAATCTGCAAATATTTAATTTCATCAAATTTATATTTACAATAACAATTAATTATCATCTTTATTTTCCTTGTCATCAAAGTCTACATCAACATATCCCTTTCAACATCAGTGGGGTCAAGAAAGTTCACATCGTGGCCCAGTTCCTACCAATCTTTCACCCCTATACACGACAATCTTAACATCAATTTTTTAGAAATAAATCAACATGGCTCTACAGAGTATGATGTTATGAATACTCGATAAAAAAAACATCAGTAGGCCTCCTGATGAGTGTAAGATAATTAAGTATAAAGCATACTCTAAATAAGGACGAACAAACCATAGTGATTCCATATGTTGATCTTTACAGTGAATCACTATGTCTTGTCTGTACTTATTTAGAATAATAAGATCTATTCTTATGACGTATCAACATCATCCCATTAAGATTCACAGGAATCATTATCAACATCATTATTCTCATCAACATCAACACTATCATCATCATTACTACCATAAACATCATCATCACCATCATCATTATAATCATCATTACCATCACCATCATCATTATCATGCCATCATCATTATCATTATCCTCACCAACACCATCATCATCCCCATCATTCTCATCAACATCACCACCATTGTCCTCATTATTAATGGTCCTGGTACATTACTGCCCAACGCCTCCGAGTAGGGGTTTGAAGAGTAGGGCTGGAGGTGGGCTTAGTAAATGGTATGGCACTGTACCTTAAGGCTATCTTGGTATAATAAACACAAGTAACATTAAAATAGAATATTCTATCTTCAACATCTCCCCCACCCCAACCATCATTATCATCACCATCAATGAAATTATTAGCCAGCATGATCTATACACTGTACTTACTAACACAGAAACTTGGGGGAAGCCCTAAGCACAGGCAGTAACTGACCGGAAGCAGAATGGCCAGAACAATGAGGAATATCGGCCAGATGACCATCACCACTTTACGGTCCAAGAAGATCATGATTAAGAGGAACGTCATGTAGATGACAGAGAACAAATCCAGTCGAATGCACACTGTTATAACAACCATGATGTAGGATATCTAAAAGGAGACAACAATTGATAATATCATTTTTCGCCTAATTCAAATCAAAGTATTTAACTAATAAGAGTTGTTAATCAATGCATCCCTATTTGAGTATGTGGATGAGAAAGGGTGCATGAAAGGGTAGGCGTAAAATTGGTCAAGCAATACAAACAATATAATTATGATATACAGTAAGGCTTAAAGTCAGCTTAAGAAGCTGAATTAATTAATTAATTCATTCATTCATTTATTTTTTTTATCTATTTATTTATTTAATTAATTAATTAATTTATTTATTTATTTATTTCAAATTCGTCACAATTTGAAAGAATAACATTAACAAATTTTGGTCATAATGGAAAACTGTCAATTGGAAAATAAACCTGAATAACATTGGTTACTACCTTCTGATGTGCTGCCCTCTATATACAATGGTGTGAATCATACAGAATATAGTAAATAAAGCATACCTCAAGACCATACTTGTAGAAGCCGTAATTGGCGAGGAATTTGAGCATATTCAATAGACCCTCATCAGCGTTGGCGCGATTGACACCCTCAAAAATTATTCCGTCCTTTGGAATGGGTTTGCCTTGCTCCCAATAGTGCTGCCTCTGGTGCAATATTACGATAGAGTTTACAATCAGAACAATGATAATAAACATGTACCCCTACAGAAACAAAATTAAATCACAAACAGAGCAATGATAATAAACATGTACTTCTACAGAAACAAAATTCAATTAAAACCTGTTTGATCAAACAACCCAAATTTTGATTATTCTTTTGTGGGTTGGAGAGAATTCAATTGAACCTGAATACATTTCGAGGAGCAAATAAGAACTGAAGGTTAATTAAACATGATAAAAAAAAAATTAATAAATATATAAATTGGTTGATATACAGTGTGTCTAGGAGTCTTGAAATGGGGGTGCTGATTGGGGGAGCGAAGGTAAAGTAGGTGGGCTCGATGATCAGTTCAAGTGGGGCTAACTCGCAAAATAAGGTGATTTCAAGGATTTTTAACTACTTGACCAGGATTTTCAGGGGGACGACTAGGAGGTTATTTTTTTTTTTTTGGATGGGGGGGGGGCGTGAGTAATTTTTGGAGGGGCGTGCACCACTGCACACCCCTAGATATGCTACTGTTGATATACTATAAATTAAAAGAATAGCCTACTAAAAAGGGAAGAAATATACATACATGTACATAGTCTGGAAAGCTTTGATCAGTTGGAACTTCAAAACCAAGCCAGGAAGTGCTGTTTACCATCTCTTCACCATACCAATCAGGATTCTATTGAAATGTCAACATTGATTTAGATACAATATTTAGTTTTCCTACCACCTTCACACTAGGCACAACACAAACTATTAACATACAAATCCTCTCACCAATGCCTTCTATCTATTCCCTGTACAAACTTCAAAACTAACGGCAACAGATCTTTCACACTTGCAGGTACTACTCTAGCTGGAACTCTACCATTACCTGTACATCTAAACAATCTCTACAATATCCACTTTCAAAGCTAACAACAAAACATTATTTTACAAGGAAACATTATAAATTTCAGTCTAAAGTGCATTTGATTTTAAAATTGTTTTATAATTTGCATTATATAAATTCTCAATTATTATTATAATTATTATTATTAAATAAATATTAACCAACTCCAAACAATTAAAAAATCATAGGAATGATGTTTTGCCCTACCTGAAGTGTTATTGTACTGATTACTCAGTACCTCCCCAAATACCAGAGAAAAAATTTGCAAGTGATTCGGGCAGGAATTGAACCCACAACCTCCAAGTATCTAGACTGATGTCTGGTGACTAGCGATGAATCCGATCCGAACTCACATCGTAATAGCATTTGCAGTACGCACTGCTACTAAGGGATCGGATTCATCACAACTCCCAACGCATTCCATTACAACAAGATGGCTCCCACAGATCCAGCCAATCGAAATACCCCTAGCATCATTTTCAATTTAACCTTGAAAGTTTTGAATACAAAATAAAACCCAAGCTTCGCAGCATTGCATTGTAGGGAATATGATTTCGAATTTCATTCCTCGGTACCTTAATTTCAATATTAGATACTCCACCTGGGCTCTTTTTGGATATGCTAGTTTATTAATTTAATAGTATTAATAATAATGATTAATGAAACGATAGTTAGTCGGAGGGCTTACTCATGGTTGTAATTATATATGTATACCAAACCTGAAGGTGACACTTTTTAATGGCAGCCATCTTGTTGAGTACACATACACAACTCATTGTTTTTTGCTTTGTCATCTTGTCAGCACTCTAGTTGTTTAATAGCTCTATGGGTGCTACAAAACCAGACATCATTTTTGGCATATTTATGGATCTAATGAGGGAAATCTTTTGTGAACACTGACATTTTGAAAGATCGAACTCAGGTACTTAAAGCTTGACAGCATCACCACTTACCCTTTCTGTGCAATTCTCGGTGAATTCGTCAGTATCTATAAAATTTAGTTGGTAAATCATCTTGGCCAGCATAACAAGAGATGCCCAGATAATTGCTATCAAACAGAACAGCCTCTGCAGACTATGAACAGGTATTGCGAAGAACATCAGGCAAACAAAAACACAGTTCACAGCAGTCACCTGAATTCAAATTTGCAATAATTTATGCACATATTTTCACAGAATAGTAAATAATAATAATAATGGAACACTATCTGAGATACAAATATAATTCAAGTGAAACACACATTGTCCATATCCAGATAGGATCACATGACTCTCTGAATACAGTTACCCTAATATTACTGAATATCTGTTAGAACTGTAAGGATACAGAAGTCTTTGTCTAACAGACAGTACTGCAGAGTGCTGCATTCACTTCCTATGAGAAAACAGTTTACCTAATGGTCCGTAACTGCAGGGCAACAGGAGCTGTTTAGACCAGTACATCTGGGTAACCCCCTACTTGTCTCGAAAGATGTACTGGAATCTTTATAATGTGCATGTGAGCCAATTGTGTACACTAAGCCTATAAATTATAGTCCTTATCCAAGAAAGCTTGCTAAACCACCACCACCAAAAAAAAATGCAAGCGTACCACTCAAACCAGCGTGAATATTATGGCTGTAGGTTACCGCTTGGTCATTCAACTCGCCCTCGGATTTGGAACACAGATTTTTAAACCGAAATCTGGTGATATATTTATGGTTTTGCCCTGATTTAACCCATGAAAATGGGATTAAAAGGTGAATTGTAAACTATATCTTCAGTCTGAATCAATCAAGATTGTGTATTCATATCATGTTATCTAGCATTTTATCTGAACTTACCTCGTTGCATGCAACGACGATGATGGTGATGAACACGACCTTCATCATGTGTATTTCAATGATTCTCCAGAGAACAGATGTGATTCTGTGGTAGTAAGCCAAACCAGTCTTGAACAGCTGCCCTATGTACAGTTTTAGGCTTTTCTGGGCTGTTGAGAGCAAAAAGAGTTGTTTTTAAAATTATTTTTCTTACATTCAACAGTAAAGGTGCTGGCCTGGGCACTGTACCTTTTGTTGACAGATCCCTGGTCAGCAATGAGGGTACATCCCCATACTGTGGTTTGGGTGCTGGCTTGAAGTTCTTCTTTTTTTCCCCCCATTACATCTATTTACTTGTTTTGGAGCACAGAGACCCTTGTATTTTGTGTGGTATAAATGCATAGCCACCTTTCAAAGTAAACACAGTAGCTACAGAAGGCAACTCTATGGCAAAAATTAAATTGTTATTTATCTGTTTATCTGGTTTAAGTATTCACAAGACAGATAAAACAATTGCAAAATAAAATGATATGCTTTAAAAATATATTTTTTCATAAACATGATATAAAAAAGTTTATACATGTGGTAAAGTATATGTAACATTTTTACAGGTACAGTAATCAAATTATGTATGACAACTTAAAGTAATAGTATTCGTACCGTTACTTTTTTGAGATGACGCATCAACCTCATCCAGGTCCTCCCCGCTTCCACCTTCAATTGCTGTGTCATCGCTGGTCACAGCGTAATTACTCCCACTAAGAAAAGTTAAATCGGTAAAAGTGAGCCTGTATTCATTGAGGTATAACATTGTGCATTCTGAGGTAGGTCAAAGGTCTTTTAAAATAAATCCCCTGTAAAACCCTATCCAGACTACCAAAAATGTGACATGCCTAAATATGGTCACGATGACATCACATCATGACCATATATAGGCACATCATGACTAAATATGGTCATGACATCACATCATGACCATATATAGGCACATCATGACTATATATGGGCATACAATAGTTTTTAGTCAAAGAAAATTTGATAATCTGGACATAGCTTTAAGGAGTATGATTCAATGATCACAATTACAAAGGATGTTGGGAACAGAATGCATGTTGGGATAGGTACATAATAATGGCCGTATTCGACTGGTCGTTCTTCGTTAAACCACACCCACCTGCACAGTGGTAAAATCCTACTTAATGAATACAACCAATCGAATAGAAAACTGGTAAATACTCGACAAAACAAAACAGCTGCATTATCGCGATACATGCTTAAAAAATATATCAAGGTTGTTGTGGATTGTGGCAGTATGGATTTTTCATAGAAAAATGTTTTCATCCGATTTTTGAATTCTGTTAGCCTACTATTATTTTTTGACTTCATGTGAGTAAATATTACAACTTCTATTTTCTGAAATTTAGCCTAAATTATATTAACGCAAATGTTGTTGCTGAACTGACCAATCGGCCATGTTTGTTTTGGTCAGGAAATGAAGCAGTCGAATAATCCCATTTACCTGGTTTTTTTTATGTCACTAAGCTTAAGAAAGTGGCTATGGAAGTAGTGAATCTGTACTAAGATGGCAATGGTAAAAGATGTTGCAAACAGAATGCATGTTGGGATAGGCCTAGAATCTTTACCTAAGATTTTTTCCCCATGTCACTCAGCTTAAGGAACAGATTATGGAAGTAGTGTATCTATAACACGATCACAATGATTAAAGATTTTGAAAACAGAATGCATTGGCAAAATAGTTTCATCTGGTTTCCAATACAGTATATTTTCCATACAGAAAATGTCATTACAATAACCAATGCACTCACTGTTATTTGTTGATGACAGTTGAACACATCTATCTGACGAAGCCCAACTGACAATTGGGCGAAACCCTCATCAATAATTAACATTGAGTACATTGTTTTACTTATTTAAATTTTCTGCATGGAGCAGAATGCATGTTGGGAAGAATCAATAATCTTTACCTTGGTTTTTTGATGTCACTCAGCTTAAGAAAATGACTATGGAAGTAGTGAATCTGTACCACGATGACAATGATGAAGGATGTTGGAATCAGCAAGTTCAGAAACAGCTTGGATGTACTAAACTCCTCTAAACCAATGTCACTCAACCTGCCAAAATTAACAAATTAATAGTTAATTCTAACATATAGTATCTAATATTTAGACAAATTATTAAAATTATAATAGTGATTATACTTAAAGATGCACAAATCTCGCAAGGCTCAGCCTTGCTGCACGAGCGACACAACGGGCACTCCGAGTGCCGGTCGAGCTTAACACTCGGTTTGGGGCCCACACGCCGAGCACAAAGACTTGCGAGCGAACATGTCGATCGAGACTACAATAAAAAGGATATCTTGTCAACCACAAGTTGAAAATATATCCAAGGCAAAAATAAATCCAAGGAGAATTGCTTGAAAAGTCCTGCTAGTTTTCAAAGGCTAGATGATCCGACTTCGAACAACGTCGAAAAGGGAATGAGGACGTTTGTTAGGGAGACGGTTCGGATGTGGCGCTTTGGGTCGGACTGTTCCATTTTTTTTTTCAAAGGGGTGTTCTGTTTTGGGAACAATGGCAATTAGTCGGTTATCCAGGTAAGTATTCACGAAATAGACTATTAAAATTATAATAGTGATTATACTTAAAGATGCTATCGACAGAGCTAAACTTACGTTTCCTTTGATAAATGAGTACTATTCTGCCAATACTCAGGGAATTTTTCAAACTGAAACGTGTAAATGAGGACAAGTACAATCATCGAGTAGATAACGACAATCCACCAGAAAAAGTATACAATCACTCGAAACAGGCGCCAAGAAAACTATGGATGAGAACATTTTTAGATCAGTTAGAGAGCAAATATATCTGTTTATGAATTGTTAATATACAGCAATATACAGTAGCAATATAGCAATTACAGGAAATAAAAAAATAAGAAAAAACTTTTTTGAAGAATATTTAGTTCAAAGTAAAAAAATATCCAACAAGTAATCCAATAGATCATAAAGAATCAGTTACAGAATAACAATACAATTTCAAATAAAATTTAATTAATAATTAAAACAATATTTAAAAAGCCTTACGACAAAGATGGTCATAAGGAACAAGAAGAGCCCCATGTAGATTATCTTGAAACAATCAACAGTGTCCTGAAGACTGACAATGAGGAACATGCCACCACAAAGCAGTATCCAGTATTTTGCGATCAAGTCCATGATGGCAGCTCCTATCACCATCATTGTCTCACTCTGTACACGATCAACATGATCACCCGTCTCCGCCCTCTCGTTTAAAGCTGTAGACAAGGTACAAAGCAGAAATATAAATGTAAAAACAAACCTTTGAAATTATTTTATATATCTGTTTGTTTTGAAAGAATGGTACATTGGTGAGGCATTAGGATTTTTATCAAAGTACACAAATGCTTACTGTAAAATTTATTTTATTCTATTTACCTTGTTTTAATGCAGTGATAATATAGAGTTTTGACTTACCTTTGACCTCATCAGATGGAGCTGAGAAGATCATTCCAAATGGTTGGAGGATGATACCATCTGCAGCTTGGTGGTGGTCAAGCTCTCGTAGCTTATTTTCCCGACAGAACTGCCGTAAGGTCATCCAAAACATGCATGTGTACAGAAGCTGTAAAGTTAATATGAATATGCATTAATGCACTTAATAAAACATATAAAACTTATAAATGACATGTTTTGACGTGTTCCACATAATCATCATCAGGTAATAATGCTTATGCTGCTACCGGTTTATGTACTACCGGTCAGATGTAAGAAAAAACAAGCAAATATTGAGGTAAGTCATATATACAGAGGTCATGAATACTATGGTAAGTCATGCATATATAGATTTACAATAAAAGAGTGATATTGCAATGAACTGTTTGTTTGTCCAGTGGACTGATTTCCCCCAGCAATGTGAAGTTGATAAGTATTGTGGGCAGAGTCAAGAATAGTAAAGCAGTCTGAATTAGATGTGTTTTGACATTTAACAGAGAGACAACACAGGCTTGGAGATTAGTTGGAATATAGTCTTTTACATTAAAAAAATCAGATAATTTATATGATATAAAAGCAAGTTTACATTAATGTCAAGAGTAATAATTTTTGATATTTCATTTACAATAGTCAGATAATAAAGAATATATATTAGTAACATATTAAAAATTATGAAACAAACTCCTATAATGATAGTTAACAAATATATTATAGAATATATACAATATTTATATTTTATGTACGGGAAATTATCTGAGCGGCTACATTGCATGCATGGACCATAGCATGTGAGCAAAGGAAAACACAAGAGTAGATACCGTACAATTATAAAAGAAAAAGTGGTGGGCTCAAGAGATGTTACAGAGATCAACAACCTGATGTGATTGGAAATTGGATGAGGATGGTCCTGAACAGATGAAGATGTTAGAGGAGGCCATCGGCTAGCAGTGGCCTGAATGGTTAGTCATGATAATTGTGTCAATGATATATTAGTGATTTATTATTTAGAATTTAACTGCAGTAATACAACCCCCGACGCAGCCGGCAACGAACTCTGAGATCGAGTGGCAGCCTGAGCTGCCCAATCCAGAGCCGCCGCAAACTTAGTCGGGGGCCAGCGTGCACAAATCTCTCAAGTCTCAGCCTTGCTGCACGAGTGACACAACGGGCACTCCGAGTGCCGGTCGAGCTTAACACTCGGTTTGGGCCCCCACACGCCGAGCATAAATTCTTGCGAGCGGATATGGACACCGATCGAGACTACAATAAAAATAAAAGGATATCTTGTCAACCACTTGTTGAAAATAAATCCAAGGGCGAAAATAAATCCAAGAAGAACAGAATTGTGCTTGAAAAGTCCTGCTAGTTTTCCGAAGGCTAGACGATCCAACTTCGAACAACGTCGAAAAGGGAATGAGGACGTTTGTTAGGGAGATGGTTCGCACGTGGCGCCTTGGGTCGGACTGTTCCATTTTTCGAAGGGGTGTTCCGTTTTGGGAACAATGGCAATTAGTCGGTTATCCAGGTAAGTATTCACGAAATAGACTTGTAGATTGTGTTTGTTCATGTAATAATTTAACATAAAACTTGAGCTTCAATTAAAAAATGTTTGATTGTGTTTGGTTATTTTAAAACAGAAATAGATATATGGAAAGTTACCTTAACAGCTAGTACAGTACACGGTATCTCATACCTCACAAGCCCTATCTCAGTTAAATCAACTCCATCCTCAGTTACTGTTGGCAGTTCCTCTTCATTCAAATTCAAACCATAGACAAACTGGATAATGATCAAGCACTCCGCATAAATTACTATAAATGGTGAACTGTAGAGGGCGCACTTCCTTGATCCAGGTATTATCCAGCATGCACAAGCCCAAAGGAGGAGTACAAAGGATAACCAACTGTGGTATGTAATGCTCCATGCCTAAATATTAAGGAAGTAATAAGAAGAGTGAATATAAGATATACGATATATGAATACTGAATTATTTTTTATTTTTTATGATTTCACAACTGCCAAATATTTTCTCAAGATATATTTATATTTAGTTTTTTCATTCTTAAAGATGACATGTTGATTCATGGCCTCCTCATTATTCGAAGTAATGTTCGTTCTATGTTATTTAAACATAAACAGTGCATCTGTAGATATTTACTATAACAGATCAGATTCCTGTCTATTGCCAACTCCATAAAGGACTATTGTAGAAAATTGCTTGGTTTAGTACTTGCCATCATCAGTACAAGAGCAGCAATGTAGCTCTGTTTTGTAATATATGCTACCAGAGTACCCAAGGGGCTAGCCTTAGGGTGTTCCACCGCTCCACTAGTTTCACTATCTGTTCTTGCTTGACGTTGGTAAGATGTGCCCTCTTCGACGTCAGTGGGGGTAGATGACTCCATGGTCTGGTAGTCGGGGGAGCCTTTACGCATCTCTTCAGTTACCAGGAGCTGGAAATAAAAAATTATAATCATATCGAATTATGTAATATTACGCTTGGACATAAAATCACAGTAAAATCCATCATTTGTTATTTCCCTTTTTGGTTAGCTTGAGTAATTACAATTCATATTTACAGTAATGCATCGAGGGACAGACGAGAGTAGGTGGTACTGGTCGGTTTACCGGGGTAGCTCAGTCATGAAGGGACCCTTAAGACAGAAGCAAGTTACTGTAAAATCTAGTCCACACCTCAAGCGCTTTGAGACTCCGGTATAAAGCGCTATATAAATTAAACTACATTACATAATTATACAAACCACAATGGATGAGTTTTCAAGTGCTTTCTCAAAGGGTGAAGAGGAACGGCTCCCTACGGCTCCCTGTGGCTCCTTCCCCCTACTGGCCATCAGTAGGCCTACTCTTACTTATTTACGACATTTAAAGAAACATTAAGGCCACAAGCTTAATTTTCTAAATGATATGAGATAATTGTCAAATGCAAGGAGGACTTACCAGACATTTTACAAACAAATAAACACAAAGCAAGACTACATTCACTTGATTCTTGTTCAATGAGAACAAATGGATTCACAATAAATAAATAATATCAACACATAGCACTACTAAGACTGTCAGTGTTTAATAGGAATGAGCAAGTACAGTACAGGCAAACATGTATTTAGCATATCTAGGGGGTATCGACAAAGTTGGGGATGATGGAGAGGTGGGCACAATTAGTTATGCGGGTATATGTAGCCCCCTGACTAAATGTGAATGTGAGGGGGCTCAAGCTAGGGGAGTACACAAACATTTTTTTCTTTGCAAATTTCTAGTGGAAAGAACCAGGAAGGGCGGCCAACTTTTTTTGGATATATGGGGGGGGGGGAGGGGTAAATATGGCCGTCATCCCTAGATATGCCACTGGAAGAGGTAAAATAGTGATATGTGGAGATCTTCCATCAACCAGCATTTATCCTGTCAGAAATGGCTGAAATAAAATGGTCAAAGCACTTGTAGTCATATGCCCAACATATATGATGGATAAACAGCATGAAATATGAACAAATCCCTAGACGACATACAGACAGAAAGACAGATACAGTAAATCATGAATAGATAAACAAAAACATAGATACACATCTGAAATGGATGATTCTACTATTTTCAAGGGGTGTTCCAATTTGCGGAACTGTTTTTTTTAATCCAGAAAAGTATTCATTATACTGATGAATTTTGTTTATGTTCATCAGTGTTATCATTATGCAAGAATGATTGAGACTGAAGCTTTTTCTCCATACAACTGCTACATTGTTGCTACAGCATTTTCACTGCAATCATTACACTATGTAGCTGTCTCCGATACAATCAGAAAGGCACAACCGACCAATCAGCATCACTGAAAAATGTTGAGTATAGCATGTAGCAATTTTATGGAAACTTCACACTAGTGTATTAATGAGGGTTTCAGAATGGTAAATTGTTAATTCATTGACAGAAACTTAATCCACATTCTTATGTTTCCTCTTCTACTCAATACAATCACTTCAGTAATACTTGTGGAAATAGGATGTTAAAGAATGGTTTCAGTAAGAACGTAGGATTAACATTCATCTACTTCATACTATCTATAGACAAATGCTACAGGATAGCAAAATATATATTATGGCATTCATCTATAATAGTATAGTAAATGAATGCATATTAGAATTGCATGCTTCTTGACTATACATGAATGTGACAGCATGTATTTTCTACTATTGCAATCATCTATAATACTATTTATTATCTATTCTATACTATTGCACACACATCAAGCAGTTATCTGAAACATGCAACAAATGACACAGAAACACAAGACAATGTGGTTTATGAGGTTAATTAGCATTAATTCACATAGAATATAAATATTCATTCAATGCATGCATCTATAGAGTGAACACCAACCTTTTTCTTTGATGATGTGGACTAGATTAATACCATGGTGAGATAAGAAAAGAACGATTGAATGTCAGAAGTTAAAGACTATCACAACCCACAAAATGTGAGACATTCTAAAGCTGGGAATATGTCATCAGAATTTAACAAATGTATGTTTGATCAGATGTTTCCTGATATTGTACACTTGTTTTATTTTTTTAATTAATTACAAGTCTTTCCCTGAAGTGAAACGTACATTCTAACTGCATTAGACAAAATCTGATATACCCATATTTGGGTATATGACATCATCATGGTCATACATGGTTGTGATACTGTATAACATCAGCATGCCTATATATATGGGCATCAGCATGCCTATATATGGGCATCAGCATGCCTATATATGGGCAATGCCTATATATGGGCATCAGCATGCCTATATATGGGCATCAGCATGCCTATATATGGGCACCAGCATGCCTATATATGGGCATCAGCATGCCTATATATGGGCAATGCCTATATATGGGCATCAGCATGCCTATATATGGGCATCAGCATGCCTATATATGGGCAATTCACACAAACGTCACACAAATTTGATAGTGTGGACAGATCTTAACAGAAACAATGTAATAATATATTCCCAGCTTAGGAAGAACCATGTAAATTGAATTTAGATAAATTCAGTGAGATTAAAGTTTTCTTTCCAAGTTGAAATGTGAGGCCATTAAATATGTGATCTATTATATACCGCATACATAGATTCTAGGTATCAGATTGGTTAAAAAGCAGGTAATAACTTTAACTATCACTCCTATGATGTTGGTTGAATGATAGTTCATAGTCTCCCAGAGAAAAAAGTACTATCACGTTACTATCTCTAGGTCCCACATATAACACTGTTATGAAATTGATGACATGCACCATACAGGTACGTAATAGGGGACGCGACCTGTACAACGCTGAAAGAGATTGCCCTTTCATCGCCAAGGAAGTAAGCCTAGAATACTTGGTGGGTACTCTTTTTTTTTTTTAACCTTTTTTAGGCCTTGTAGAATCTATGTATGAGATATAAAACAAATACTGACTGCTCTAGGTTCGGGAAACAGTGAAATCTATAGCAACTTGGTCATGTGGAGACCATAGCCACATCACCTTGAGGTAGATTTCACTGTTCCCCTCATGAGCAGTCAATATTTGTAAATTCTATACCATATTTGTGATAGTGTAAGTACATACATCAGATTTGCTATACTTACAGAAGACTAATGCACAGTACCCACCAAGCAGTGCATGACAGGTTTTATCCCTGTCTCTTATACACATCTTATTATTGTTTGAAACATCTGCTCATTGAGCTACTGAAATGATGCTTTTTGATGTTTATTTTTCTTTTATTTCAGTCATTCAGTCAGCCAAAAATAATAGAATAAAAATACACAATTTTATTGAGAATAAAAAAGATATACTGCCTGTAATAAAATATGGAAAAAACCCCTCAAAACCCCTTAAAAATTATAAAAATTATGTTAACTTCCAAATAGGAACAAGGACTAAAATAATCCAATTTTCACTGTTTACAGACCTTTTTAGAATACAAATCCTTCAACTGACTACCAGTTAAACTAAGGGTCTATTCAAAAGAATATACGAAAGTTAATTTACTTTTCAATACATCAATTAAGTCATGAGAAATTAATTATTATTATTTCAAGATTTTTCGTTTATCACAGACGGTACATCATTAAAGATATTTTTTGATATAAGAACCTGAAGAATTTAAGCATCTATTTAAAATACAGAAATGTACAGTATCTGTTTATTGTTGAAGAATTTATCCACCCTCCCCACCCCCCCCCCCATGTTAAATTGCAAGCAAATACATACTGTATATGAAATGTATTAAACACAATAGACTATGGATGGGAAAACAATAACATTTATTTATTACATGTAATAAAAATTATATACTAATTATAAATTAGATGGTGTAGCTATAATCGTATTAGTCAACATTTGTCTTATAATTAATAATAATTAATAACAAATAATTCTAAAATAAATCTACCTTAAAATGAAATGAGAACATAATATAATTGAATTTTAAAGTGATACAAAAAGGATAATATAATATCTGTTAAAAAGTCTCCAAAATGTATTTGATAACTTTTAAAATACTTAAATTATAATATTTCAAAAACAATAAAATCAAGATTTAAAAGTTTATATTGTGGTGGCCTGATACATCAATAAAAACAATAATGGATTAAAAATCGAGAAAAAAAATTGAACAAATGCAATATATTTTACCTCTCTTTCACCTGATTTCCTTCTGTGTTTTTTATGTGTCTGTTTTTGAACCTCCACTAACTCCTGAAAAAAAAGGGATTTACACTCAAAACATCATTTGAAAGAACAATGGTACAAGAAGATATGAAAGAATATTTCAAACCATATTTATTCAAACAATTTCATTTAACTTTTGATATCTTTTAATTTATGTGGATTTATATAGTTTGGTTGGAGGTTACTGCGAAAAAAAAGGATGTTCTAGCCAATGAAGGTATGATAAATCAGGATGTTTATGTTTTAAACAAACTGTGTGACTAAATGTAGGTTCTATTAGTGAAATTTGCTTTGGTTGGGAATAGCAACATTTTCTAAATAAATATATTTATATATTATTTATATCAATCATTATTTTAATTCTATCAATAATACTGTCAGAGATTTATACTACACCAATTTAAAAATTGTTCAAAGGCTAATTAATTAGTATTGGTATGGTTTGAGCTGTCGTAACTGTCTTCAAGCCTTTAAATCAAATTCATTCATGATGTATTCCATCATGAGCATACTTAATCTTGTCAATATAAACTTTGATGTCAATATGAGACAGACATTGCTTTTCCTCACATGTTTACCAAACACTTCTGAATACATCTTTGACTAACTTATTTATAACTGCTAATTTAAGCCAGACACACAATCATGACTGTCGGCCGACGAATCTACACACAATAGCTGCTCTCTGCAAGAGCCTGACAACGTCACGTCGTTTCATGATCCATTGCACGTGCATATGTATTCTATGTGGAATTGCGTCAGCTTATGACCGTCAGTGCAGTGCATGACAGGTTTTATCCAAAGTTTCTGATTACTGCTCATTCTTTAGCAAATTGGGTTACTTATGTATGCATTGTAAATGAAACTTCTCCCAGTCATATAAAATAGCAAAACACTCTAAGAGTTGGTAAATTTTGTTGACAATGTATTCTAAAGTCAAACACAAATATTATCCAACACAAGTGTTCTAACAAAACCTGGGGATTACAAAAATAGACCATTGGTGGTAAATAACGAATAATTAATAGGGCGTAGAAAAAAATATTACAAAAATTATATTAGGCACCCTTCAAAATAAGCCAGTGCCCAGCAAAAAAGGATTACAAAAACATAAAAAACAAATCATTTAATAAGTGCATTTAAAAAAAAAACATTTCATAAAATATACACTGCAGAGATTTTCAAAAACAAAATCATGCCAAATTATTCATTGTTGCAAACAGTTATTACATTTTGTCTTTATTGTCTAAAAAAGTGGATTAAATTTCAAATGCAATCTACTGAAAAGAATCTTGAAAGTGACAATGCATCAAAACCTTTAGTATTTTGTGACACAGAAATTTAAAAGCAACATGTATCCGTTAATGTAAGAGGTCACAAGGAAACTGTTCACTTTAAATGTTGTCACATATCATGAAATAATTACATGCAACATTCACAAATACAATCAAATTTGAAATTAGGAATAGTGCAAGATAATTAAAAAGCTCATTAACTGATCATTACAATAATGTTAAGATTATGAGTCAGTTTGAATGCCAGCAAGGCACCGCATAGTGAAGTGTAGATCAGCATAGAAATATATTTTAAACCTCTGCTATTTTCTTTTTTTATCACTTTATACAGCAAGATTATAAGGTACAGTAAGTATTAGAGCAGAGTTAATGATAAAATTATAAAAAGATGTAGTTATTTTTGAAAAATATATAATATATAAATTTAAAAGAAATGGTGCATGGAATTAAAATAAAGACAAATCACTAAAATTGTCCATATTTTGCAGTGCTGAAATTAAATGACTATCTAAAAATTAAATTAAACTATATGGAAGCATTAAGCATCATCCCCTCGTTAATTGTCAAAGCATTATCAGCTAAGCAGTAATGATATCAACATTGGGAGGAGTTCACTGGCGTAGCCAGAGGGTGGGTCAGGGGTTCTGACCCCCTCTGAAGTTAAAAAAAAATAAAATAAAAATTATCCCCAATAACGACAATGCAAAAAATAATTTGGAATATGAAATGTAAGCTAGTATTCTTTTTATTTTTTTCAATAATAATATACTAATCAGTTTTTATACTCATACCCCCAGCTCACACCGAAATCTAGGAATTTTAGTAGTGCCAATGGCAAATTCCATAACATGTTTTACGAGCAGACAATGCTTACTATTGTTGTATGAGCCAATCCTGTAGTGGAAATGACAAGTTGTAGTAAGAATTACATATTTAATTGGACCAAAACTGCCTTTTTAAAGAAATTTAACCTAAAGATCAAGAGAGAGAAGTAAGGCTGACAAGTTTAAGCCGAAATTCCGTCAAACTAATATTATAAGGCTTAAATTCAGCAACACTATTAAAGAAAATAGTATAAAAGTGATACTAGGTAAATAGAAATACGCTTTCTCACGTCCGAGCAAATGCATGCAGTAGGTAATAAAACGACATGCCTGCTTTTAAGACCTATTTAAAAATAGGCCTCCATCGGAGGTTTATGATTATAAAATCACTTTGTTGGTGGAACTGGGGAAGTGAAATCTTACACCAAATTTATTTTCTTGTTTACAAATAGCATTCAGGCTGATTTTTTTTGAGGTTTTATTTATAGAGACATTAAATGAATGTGGTAAAACATCTCTCAGTTCTCTTCCTATCACGTAAAATAACGTAAATTTTCCATGACCTTTAGCTCCTGGACCCCAACCAGGCACCTTGCCCACCATTTGCTTGCTGCACTCGCAAGGCCTGACCCCCCCCCCCCTTCCTCAAATTTTACCCTTGCTGTGCACCTGAAAATCACTATTAATATTAGTAAGGAACAGAAAAATATAACATGTGATAGGACCTCTGTGAGTTGGCTATTAATATATACAGGTGTACTGTTTAAATGCAATGTGTACATGTGTACTGTATATAGCATGAACACTGCAGTATGGTAATGTTTGAGATATTCTGCAAATATAAATAATATTTATGAATAAAGAGCATTAGAATGGAGTCCTGGTTTTATGCTTGAGTACTCTACATTTAATCCCAAGGTCTCAGTTCTAGTCCTGTCAAAAATGTCATTTTATAACTGAAAGAGGAAACAAAATATCACCAGAGACTAAAAGTATAAACTTTAAGAAGAGAAATACACAAAAAAAAGCACAGTAGAATTAAAACTCGGCAAGACTATGTATCCTTGTTTCCAAACTTCACTATGCTTAGTGGTTAGTGCGGATCGATAAGATTGAAAGCAAAATAAACTGATACACAGGCAGGATGAAGAGACAGAACGAAAATAAGACGTTGTTGATAAGTAAACAAGTGTAGATACAGAAGAAGTTTTTGGTAATCTATGTTCTCAACCAACCACAGTTTTTTTTCAGAACTATGTATGTGGTGTACCGCAAGAATTAACATATATAATCTATATTTAGGTGCGAAGCACTACTCACCACAGATTCCTTGCCAATTAACTGGTCATATCCATTTCGCTGTGTGTAGAGGAACGTCAGAAACACAATGACAACATAAAACCATAATACAATATACAACACAAGGTGGTTAAACACCAATGAGGATGGTTTAGTGGGGATACGTGCACTATAACATCTTATTATGATTACTATAGCATTTATTATAAAATTTAATTAGTAATTATAAATTTATATACTATTTATCCAAGAAAAGTTAGTGCAAATCATCAGGATGAGAGGACTTTGCTTTGGGATCAAAACATTATTTTATTTGATTTTGATTTTTTATATAATGCAATGCCTTTTTTATGCCGAATATAAGCATATATATATATATAGTTTTCTAAAATTGTAATTGACTGATTAGCCAGATAAGATTATTCAGGATAATGAAGAAAAAAACAAACAAAAAATACTGTACTCGCATGAATAAGCACCCGGGCGCTTAATATATTTGTTGCATTTTTTAAGGGGTGCATATTCAAACGGAGTGCTTATATTGAAATAGGGCGCTTATCAAAACAGAGGTGGAAATTGAAGGGAAAATGGAAATAGATGAAAATTAAGGTGTGCTCATCAGAAAATTCAATTGGTGTGTTTTGATAATTGTCCAGAGAGCATTGCTCATGAATGCTGTGGGTATTTACACACGCAGCAGACAAAATTAGTGGTGGTAATAGTGGTAAGCTTGTTGGCCATCTGCCGATTGAGATTAGCAGGATTATTGCAGGGTTTCTTACAATAATCCTACTAAACATGCTAAAGGTGCAAAATGTCACTTATTCAAATTAGGAGGGGCGCTTATTCAAACGTGGCGCTTAAGAAAACATTTATTCAAACGGGGCGCTTATTCGCGCGAGTACGGTAACTTAAAACATTTTTGGTGCAGTATTAAGTTATGTTGACATGCCAATATATTGTTAGAATAGGATACTGTAGATCATAAAAAAAATGTAGAACCCCTCTATCATCCATGAAAAACAAGCATATACTGTCTGTTTTATAGCCCAGACTATCAAATTTTATTTGGCAAAAACATGTGACTCCTAAATATGGTCATGATGACATCCCATCATGACCATATATAGGCACATCATGACTATATATGGGCATACAACAGATTTCTGTAAAAGAAAATTTTATAATCTGGACAGAACTTAAGATTTTTAGCTTTCAATTTTAAATTTAGAACAATATTTTCTCTGCAAATTGACATAAATAATACTGTACTTTCTATTTCTTTCACAGGCAAAAAAGCATTGTTTTATTAGATGATGTAAACTTAATTTGATTTTAATGAGTAATTCAATGTTTCAATTGGAATTTTGAAGGCTTTCCAGTTTTTAATACAGCTGATGTCTTGAATAAAATAAACACTACTCAGTGGTTTGATGTGTTACGGTTGGATAACATAATGGTAACATGAATATGGAAGACACAATAAAAACTCTTGCTATCAATCAATAGAATGAACTTTAAAATGCAGTGCACTACCCAACAAAATAAATTTCATCAATAATATTTTAAGTATTTTTTTAACAAAAAGTGCAGACAGCGTAACTCTTTGTGAAAAAATATTAAAATCAGAGCAAATACTGTATTATGATGTGGATTGATCCTTTTGTTACTATGAATTCCAAATTTTGGATCGTACCCTTTGCTACCAATTCCAAGTTTGAATTGGACCTTTTCAACCTATTCACAATTTGTTGAGTTAATTCCTAGCAAATGGCAGCATTTGTATCTGATGTAGCATGGTATTGGTATGCAAAAAAAGCAGATAATGATCCTATTAAATTTGCTATCCTTAGAGGGCTTTTTGTTGTATTTTATTTTATTCTAAAATAAAGTTAAATAAATACACATTAAACATTATTAAACACAGAAAGCTAACACTTTTAAGTACTCATAATTATTATTAACATTATTATCATAATAATTATTAATAATATCGTCATACAAAATGAAAGACAACGAAATAATCCTTCTGGATTTCTTCACTTGAAAATGTGGCCATTAACCACAGTAACAAAAATTATGAAAATATACCAAATATAACAATAATAACAACAATAACATATAAGTGATGTTTTGCCCTACTTGACGTGTTATCTTACTGAAATTCAAATTCTTTTCATTTATTTATTCCCAAAAGCAACAAAGTCACCAAGAAAAAAGTCTTGAGCCCCAGTAAGCTAGGCCTTAACTACATGAATAGCATAATATAAAAATATAAGCACAAAAAAAGTAAGCAAATGAAAGGCCAATATAAATTAATTATATTAATAACATAAATTTGTTTTTTTTTTTCACTTAACTTAACACTTACTGGTGATGCATTTTTTTTTACTTTGGTTAATTTTTCTATTTTGTGTGTCGGTGTACTTTTCTGAATTTTGTTTGACTTGTTTGTTTGTTTAAAATATGAAAATAATAAAAATTAAGAAAAAAAACACTTACTGGTCCTTGCATAAACCTTCGAACTTCCAAGGCGCAGTACCAATAGAGTAGAAGAATTGCCGCAGGGTTCACAAAGGCTGGCCACAAGAGGTCATCATGTATTAACAGATCATAGACTTTTTCTTTAGTACACTCTGTCTTTATGATTGCTTTCAGTCCAACTAACCTGTATGCATATTCAGAATATTAGAATTATGTTTTATGTATAGTCATGATGTGCCTATATATGGTGATGATGTGATGTCATCATGACCATATTTAGTCATGATGTGCCTATATATGGTGATGATGTGATGTCATCATGACCATATATAGGCATGTCACATGTTTTTGTCAAATAAAATGTGATAGTCTGGACAGGGCCTTAGTAGTTCTACTTTTGTGGTTTAGTGGAACTCCGAGTCCTCAAATAGAGGGATTCGGCGATTTTTGTTTACAGTCGGTCACATGACTTAACTTGGGTATACATGAAAAACATTACAGTGCGATAATATAGGAAAACATAATGTGTAAACGCATTCTAGAATCGCGTCATCGTGCAAAGCAAAAAAGCTCCCTTATCTTACCGTGCTGTAAGACTTCCAGAGTCCACATTATCTTGAAAGAACTGAAACTGATACAGGTACAGCAAAATCAGATGAAAGCCACTAAACACCATCCAACATCCCTGCCAATACACAAATCGCTTCCCAGTCGTTTTATACAAAGACCACCATGTGACAACAATTAGAAAAGACACAAAGTACACAGCTGATATCATTGATGGTTCAATAACAGCCGCAAACGCCAACAACGTCATGGTGAGCAGTCCGCGTAGGCCTGCAATCACTATCGATCGTTTTTTGCTCTTGCGCTCATAGGTGGTGTCAGTCTGTGAGGTCTGTGAGAGTTCTTGAAGTCTCTGGTTCTCCTGAGCCAATAGTTTGTGGCATATTGCCAAGACTATGGAAGAGACTATGAGCACTACCACATCAGGAGCCAACAGTCTTATGGATGATAGTGCATTGCTATCTAATCTATTACGTAAAAAAAAAGATGTTTAAATTGGACAATTCATTTAAAAATAATGTAAATGTGTCAATTTACAATGCAACAGTTGGTAAAAAGGTTGAAATAAACACTGTACAACAACATCAGCGATTTAATGGTTTAAAAATGTAAGTGGGCAAATCTATGATAATGGAATTACAAATCACAACAACTTTTGGAATATTCCTACTAACCAAGAGGTCTATGGTGTGTCTTGGATAGTGACTTTTATAGGAATAGGTAGTACACACACCTATCAATATCAAGAGGGCCACCATAAAATCCATTCATCAATAATGATATTAGTAGGCAAGGAAATTAATGAAAGTGCATAAAAAGTATAACTGAAAATTAAAATACCTTTGGAAACCAAGTTGTCTCAAAATTCTCTCTGTTGAATTACCTGCAGATAAAAAATGTAAAAAAAAATCATTATTTACTCATGTTGTGACGAATTGAAACATAAATTTTAATCAATTGGTAAACAATTTTTGGAACAATGACAATAATTGATGATTCAGTTTACTCACATGGATCCAGGAAATTTCCATATGGTTGATCAATAAGTAGTACTATTTGGAATATTAATTGACCAATGGATGCTGCAGCACTGAATGCAACTAATAACTTCAAATATTTCCCAGTGGCTCCTGATAATTAAATAATCAAAAGTAATTAATGTAATTTCATGAAAAAGATTGGAAGACAGAATAATCAGTAAGAGACATAGACCCTGTAGTTCGATTTTAAATAAAATTGAATTCATCAATTGTATATGGATATCTACCAAATTAGATGCTATTATTGCTATTATAAATATACTGTACTGTCAAATCTGTCTGACAAAAGAAGTGGAGAAATGCTTCGATGAATTTCATAAAAATTATGGATAACGAGCATTGGAGAAAAAGATTTGAAATTAAGCATTTGAGTAATTTGTAGTCAATGAATTATGTTAACCCTTACTTCAAAATTTACTCTTTAAAACTTGTGACAAGTGAAGCATGTTGTTTATGCAATTGTATTTTCCTTTCATGTTTTTCGAGGAGCTACCGGTCTCATCAGCAGCAATATTGCTTGCGTTTATTTCCTTTACCTAAGAATTACATGTTTTGTTTATAATATTGTTATTTTATGTTTCAGTAGTTTAGGAATCTTCATTCCTTTATTATTTTTTTCACTATGAATGCACCAGATGATTTTTGAGTGCCACTGATCAAAAGGTGGACATTCAAATAAATATTATTTTTATTATTAAAATAAATGAATGCTTTAATTTTATTATCAATCTCAATTAAATTAGCAAGTTAGTTTTCAGATAATGTAAACTGTAACGCTAAATAATAACTTAATTAAAACCTTGACTCAGAAAAAATGGGGTGGTGTCTGCCTGGGGATAATTTCACCTCTAGAATTTTCTCGATTAAATTAAGTATTTTTTTTAAGTGTTACATGTTGCATTGCTTCAAATGTAATTCCCTACATCTCATTATCATACTGTATTGCATACTGTAGGCATACATTAATTTTTCTATTGTAATTAAACATGTAAATTGAATTAATAATTTATTCCCCATATTTTTTATTTTAATATTTTTTTTATTATTTATTATCATTATTTATTTATTGCTTTCTTACCTTAGATTTATACTGTATTGTATTCTAAGGGCATTGCATTTAAAAGGCTTAAGCCTTCTGCAAAAAACCCCTATCTTTCACCATTACTATAATAATAGCGCCTATATCATGTGTACATATATATTTTGTTCAATAGTATACAGTTCACCCTCCAATTCGAGACCACATTTGGGACCTGAAAATTTGGGGTGGTCTTGGGGTTGGTCCACAATTAGAGGGCTAGCTTTGTGTTAAAAGGTTGAATATGTTATTTGAGTCTTTGGAAAAGTGGTCTTGAATTAGAGGGTGCACTGTACTATGTAATTTGCAGTATTGTGTGAATAATACAAGTGGAATTGAATTAGATTAAGAAATATAGAATTAATGACAGCATTAATAATAAAGTTTTATATAGTGCATTTGCCGATATTGTTATCTTGACACTGATCAATCACACACTTTGCTTCCTGAAGGAGAATATAATTATGTAGCACCTCGTAACTGGCACATTGACGTTTGAGCTTACCAAGTAGCAACAAACAATAATGCGCACAAATCCAAACAATTCTTAACGTACCTTGTTTTTGACCTGAGTGCAGATTCAATGGAGGACTGACTTGGCCCAGGGCCGACACCCCCCTCCCAGAATTATTTTTAAAAAAATGAAGAAAATAGGAAAATTATAATCTAAATTAGGTCTGGGTGTACCATAATCATAAATTTTCTCAGCCCCACCGTGAGGGCTGGTTAGGTCAAGACTCTCCATCTGTGAAAGTCCCTGCCTGGGGAACCTCTATTTTGAATTCCTGGATCCGCCACTGTCTTATCTTGACTAGAATGCCTCTTGTCTTGACAAGAAAACATCTTGTTTTAAAGTGGCAGTAATATTGCAGTCAACAAACGTCTTATACCATCATGACCTTTGAACTTACCTTTCATTGATTGAGCTGTGGGGCTTTGAAGTAAGGGTACACACAGTAAACACAGCAGATATATAAATGATAGTCCATTGTATCTAAATAAACAAGCTAAAGGGAAAAACAAAATAACACAAATTAATGCTATAATTTTATGATTATTTAATTTAGCATATAGTATTTAGCAGCATTTTTGCAATAAATTCCAATTTATATTTAATACTTACTTATAATTTATAAGCTTTCACATGCAATGGTGATTTTTAAGATTGGGTTGAGTGCACTTTTTAATTTCTGTTTGGTTTCAAATGAATTTATGTTATTTTTAATGGACAATACAAGTTATCTTGAATTTAGGACAATGAACAGCGTCCCTCTAATAATATAGCCTAAGTAATAAGTAATAGTAATATATAGATACATAGAGGTGGAATCAAGATTTGGAAGGGACTGGGCCACAGCTAGCCTATAAAATATTTGAATATTAAAAATGAAATGGGGAAGAAAATAACATTGAATTCTTATAATATAATAAAATTCCCTTCCGGGGCACTCTCTATTTTGAATTCTTAGATCTGCCACTGACATAATTATTTAACTTGATTTATCATCCATCAAAAATATAACATATTAAAATATATAATAATATGGGCACTATGAATAAATGACGTTCAAAAAATAACTCAGTATTGTTGATGTATATGGTAAAAAATTTACAGTACAGAATATTAAATACCCATATTACCTAAACTGTGTAAATTAACTTTTCAACACTCTTGACAAACATCATCCTCTATGAATTGTGATGTCAAAATCTATGCATTAGTTATTAAAATATCAAAAATAATCACATAAATCTCACCACAGAATAGAAAAAGTGGTATAAATATCTTATGCAGAAACCACATGAAATGATATTTGATGTCAATAACCCTGTACCACGGAACCGGTTCATCTTGCTCATCTACACCTCCTTCCAATGAAGAATATAACTGCTCTTTTTCCGCCATTGGTCAAATTATAACGCTAGGCACAACTGATTATACCGCCTTTATTCAATCCATGTGTTTTATAATGCCATCTAAGCAATCTAAATGCTTAAGGTTTATGCGATATTCAATACACAGCTCTTAACAGGAAATTTACCAATCAATGCGTCTTTTCCGAGCACTGGGACATAATTGATACCCATGAATGAGGACAACAAACACAGATTATAGCACCGGAATATTGTGTGGAATAAATTATAATTTTACACAGCAATCAGCAAACAATGATATAGGATACACTATGTAGTAGCAGTAGCTGCAGCTGTTATAGACAGGCTTAAAAACAAGTTAGATATAGTGTAACTACTGGCACAGTATCCAATATGAATACTCAAAGAATAACAATGCTTTATTTCTGGAGCCTTTCTACAGTCGATCAAAACATACCATAAACAAATTACAGATTTTGTGCTATATATCAAAATCAACTGTATCCAGTGCTGTATTTCTTGCTATTTCCTGATAACTAAGAAATCTACTTCAAATTTTCTGCTCCCGGTAAAGAATTTCAAGAGTTCATCAATTCTTAACAGCTTTATCAATGAAATTCAGATGAAAAAATAGTCTGATTAAAATATAAATAATTAACTACCGGTAATTGAATTAGTTAGCTATTGATGAGAGTAGTTATCTATCTTATGCATCAATATTGAATGACTTCATGAGGAGGTCGCCAAGTGCTGTAGTATGCAATCTACTGCATAGGTTTGGAATAGGTATCTCATGCCCCGGACTCTGCAAAGAAAACTAAGGCATTCAATCCACACAGAACAAGCTTACAGTAGTAGGAGTATGCCGAGTATACCATCACAATATTTCAACTGCAATCTACTGCAAGAGCCAACAAATTATCCTCAATAAACATTTAGTTGTTTTGTTGTTGTATAACCTTCGGAATACTGTGAACAAAAACAACAAGCTTTTGTCTTTTTAGCACATCAAAATATGATGGATTTCATCCATTAAGCACTGTTGATAATGCTTGGTCGTCATTTGAATCCAAATCTGCATTAATAAGAATCCATGGACAAAGCAATACAAATATCCACAAATTGATTGACACCAACTACCATCAAGGGACAGTGGAATATTATTTGTTTTTGCCGGTAAAGACTAGCCCATTTGTTTCATCATTGCGGCTATACCACACTACACACAAGCTGGTTACCCTTCACAGCGCTAAGGTAACAGTACTAGTCTATGTGCGACTCCTTCCTGCTTGTTACACAACTAGACATCACATTAGGTTTGCTAGTAGATCCTTTCACTACGAGGTCTATAACAGATGTGAAGCTTGCAGAACAGTATGGTACATTTATTAGAGGTTTTTACAATGCTTAATTAAAATATGTGCTGGTACTAGCAAGGATTATTAGCACTTTTGCTAGATCGATCGAAACAGTAATGAAAAAAAGAAGGTCTTTGAATTCAATCAATATCATAATGTATTTTACACAAATAACTATTGGGCAATATCTGAAATAAAACCTAAAGATGAAAAGGTGGGGCTGATGTATGTATTATTATAATATTTCTCATATCTTAATGGACAAATCATATGTAACAATAAAAAAAAAACATGATCCACGCAACAGGTTTCTGAACTTGGTAACATTTGGGCAGTTATTCTCATTAGCCAAATTGTTTTGAATTGTAGATTCGCTTACTTTTCGCCTTGTTAGTCATGTCACTGACAGAGGCTAAACATTAAAGTGGAATGGATAACATTAACAGGAAAATGATGTAAACGAGATAAATTAATTACTTACAAAGCAGAAGGAACGTTGGCAGTAGGATCTTAAATAAAAGCCACATTATAAATAACTTGGAATAAAGCCAGTTCTTTGCTGTCTTGAAAGTGCTCTGTGTTCCTCCTTTGTAGTAACGCCATCGTGATTTAATCAGCACTTTCGTCTCTTTCCAGAGTTGTTTGAAAGGGAGATCAGAAATGTTCAACGACGCTGTCCGTTCTCGGTTTTCTATAACGCTTCCGTTCGAACGCGGACGTGATGGTGTCTCCGATTCCGTCCTGGTACGAGAGTGTGTGGAGGTAAAATGCAGTGTGGATGGACGCGTAGATGGTCGATACAAGTGTGGCGTATCACAGTTTGTTGAGTTTGATTGTTTCTGGAAGGATGTGCCACCATCTTGATCTGACGTTGAAATGATCCCTGACTGGGGTACATAAGCTGGATTTGATCTGTCACTCTTCTCCATCTCTTTGTCATTCTCTTCCTCTAATTTATTATACGACATCCTTTACCGCCAATAAACAGGACTTTCGAGAGTGGAAATCCCAAGTATTACCACTCCCATGTGTGATGTTAAGTCCAAAATACAAAGATAACATAGAAAGTCTAAACAAAGTTTATAGGAGATTCAAAATACAGCAGTGAGGTCAGTTGTAACATAAACTAGTAAATCACTTTAATACTTGACCTCAACACTATCCCTGTCTTTATTATTTTACACAAAAATGTTCAATGTGACTTTCAAGCTGTGATGGCCCTTTTCAAGAATCTAGTAGTAGTAAATTCCAGCAAAAGAGCATTTATTTATTGCAATAACATACTGCCAAAAGCAAAGCTGTCATCAAGGTATGAGCAAAATATGCAGCCAGTGTCTACTATATTGCTGTTCATTTTTTAAATGTTGTTAAGCAATATGTATGCCTACAGTACATTTGAAAAGAAATCTCAGCTGACTAGACCTGACCTTACCATGCCTCCCCACAGTATTGGTTAATGGTAGTGTCATGTGGTCAAGCACACTGCAAATTGGTCAATAGATTTGTTTACTAAGCAAACACCTTCTGTAACTATTACACAGATGAGTCTTTGGATGACAGTACTAATCACAGACGCTCCTATGAAATTCAAACAGTCGCTGCAAACCACTGCAGGTCTAGCGGAAAGTTCAGATTTGACTTGACACGTTAGTGACTAGTCCTATCGTCACAAGCCTATAAAACACAGCAAGCAACGGTCATAAGCCTATAAAACACAGCAAGCAAGAAACAATATAACATCCACAGTGCTCATGTCTGCAAAAAGGCATTAAGTAAAAATGTAATACTTAAACTCGAAAACAAAATCATGTGAAATAAAGTAACATGATTTGTTCATGCTCATTGGTGGGAACGACCTTGAAGACGAATAAAGGGCCTATAGAACCTGTTAGCAAAGTCTGTCGTCCCTTCAAATAATATTTTTATCCATCCAATAAACAGCTTTGGATTAAATCATTTACCTGGTGAACAGGTAAGCCCACATTGGCTGGTTATCTCAGGTGAAGTTAATAATTAAACCGGCAGGTGTACAAAGTCTGTTACATTACAATGCTAGTCGACAATGTCTACAGTCTCTTTATTGAGCATCGACGCCAAGCTGCTGCAAATCATGTTGCCGTAGGTGCGAGTTGTCATGCACTCTGTTGTCTTGGAATGCATTAATTTTCTTTAACTTGAGTAAAATTATTGTTGGATGCGCTGTTTCACTGTACTGTACATACAGTAACTATTGTCAAACAACAGGTACAAGAAAAACTGATATTTGGCAATGAAATTTGTTTGTGGCACTCCCTCTGCCTGCAGGTTACAAGTTCACAAGTGAGCAAGGTATAGTAATGTAGGCTACACCCTTGTCTCTTGTTCTGCCCAAGTAATAATATGTAGTACTGTCCAACGTTCTTTTCACCAGACAGTCTATAACATAGCACACACCTTACGGTAACTACCAATATACAGTACTTGGTAATCAAAGTACCATAACATAAGAATTTGGAGTGGGTTTGACCTTGAATTAAAAAAGAGACAATTGTTCTTGCACTGCCTCCTGCCCCTATACACCATTATTATTTGGGGGGGGGGGGGGAGGGCCTACAACCATTTTTTCTACTGGTTTCTATGCCTATGGTTTTAGTGGTATGTAATGTAGACCTATTTATATTAATGGTGATAGTAACCCTTTCTACTTATAGTATGAACAGTACATACCTCCATACAGTAGTAGTAAAAGTGTTTCACTACATTTTAATTTATTAAAAAAATTTCCTTACAAAACAAAAACATAATAATAAAAAAAAAGGGCATGCAAAGTACTGTAATGTGAAGAAAAAGTTTGCTCCTGACCAAAGGATAGTACTGTATAATGAATTGCCAACGGCTCTGCATGTTCCATTAAAACTGACTGAATTGTTTGAGATTCTGTGATTGATACGTACATTTTGTTTTGAATTGAGGAAACATGGACATCAATTCAAATTAAATTCAGACATTTAGTATTCTGGGGATGCCATATTATGTCTGATTTCACCAAGTTTCTCATTAATTAACTGACAATTTCAGAGATTCACCTTTCCCTCATCAATTATTTTAAGTCTGTTTTAACCATCTTTGTGTATGGATTTAGTTCTTTTCTCATGATGTCCTTAACCACATTAATTAAACTGACTGGAAATAATTTCGTAGTATTTTCCTCCCTTTGGCACTTTGTTAAGTTTTTATTATCCCCAAAGAAGATCCAAAATTTGTAGTTTCTTTATGGACATAACAAATGCAGTCATAAAAAAAAAAGTGGAGAGATGGGAACAATTTCCACTTTACTGTCTGACTTCCAAAACATAAATTAAGATATTGGCCACACTGTTGTCCATGATTAAAATTATCAAAATCTAGTAAAGTTTTTTTTCATAATATATGGCAAAAACAAGCCAAACTAGTCACTCATCGCAAATTGTGTTTCAGAGAAAATGGCAAAAACATGCTGGAATGTCAATTTTTTTTACATCTATTCTAATTCACTAAACTAACCTTCATCTATACATCTTGCTATTTAAACTATTGTTATTTTCCCTATTTTCAATGTTAAAACAACACTTTTTAAGGATTTGATGATAGTTTCTACATGAGAAATGCCTGAAATCATAAACTTTGAAGGCTGATTTCTCATATTGTTCTTTAAACAGCTGTATGTTCAAATGCGTGTAACCAGGGAGTTGTTATAGTGACTATAACAACTCCCTGGTGTAACATAATAAGGAAATGTCAGATTTGAATTATTTTTTACCATTTTATAGTTATTATTTTACTCTTTAACATTGTACTATGGCAAAATAAGGTAGCAGATGATTGTAATGTAATGGCACATATCACTAATCATGAAACCAGGTCATCGGAAATGTAAACCTTGAAATTATTGCCAACAAATTGTTAAATTGCAATGAGTACTGCAGCCTTGAGGGCATATGTAGAAGTACTGACAGTACAATATCCAGGTCAGTGCTTCTTCCAAGGCAGTGGTTGAACTGTGTAAAAATGTTTCTCTCTATTTGTACTGGGTAGTGTAAAATAAAAGTATTTTATAATGTTCTTAGGATTATTCTTTCAATAAAAATGTTATTTATTTTATTGATTCCACAGATTTCAAGAAACAAAAATTTAGTTCAACTTTCTTTCTAATCTAAATCTGATGGTAATATAGAAACATGAATACAGAAGAACTGATGACAGAAGAATAAATTATGTACTGTATAGGCATCAAATATAATAACTTGTAGCATTACTTGACAAACTTTAAACAAATTTATCACACAAGTTTCTGTCAGCAGTCTACACTGGATTCGATCATCACATGCATAAACTATTGGTGGCTCACTTTGGATTGAAGATTTGTTTTCTTTGGTTTTGTTAATTTTTTTTTCATTTGGTTCTTCCATAATTAATAGCAAGCATTAAAGCTGGATTAAAGGCAGCACTGATCTTTATTAACACTGAAATCATTATTGGCAGGCCAATGTGAAAATTTAGTCCAGAGGTTGCCTTGTGAAGATGACTCTAGCCTATAAGTATAGATTCTTTTTTAGTCAGTATTCAAAAAAATATTGTGCAACATATTTCATTGTGCTTACTGGCAACGGTAAATTAATTCAAACACGTGATAAATATACTAACAAATGAAATCAGAATAACCACAACCTTTGAATATCACCTTTGAATGAGAAGCTTGTGTTATATATTCACATATGAAGTGTGATTTCTGTTGGTGGCTTTCATACTATCAGACAAAAGAAGACACGGTCTATTTCACTCGATATGGAGTCTTATGAATTAAGAGGTTAATTCCCATGAGGGTCTACTGTTCGTCCCTGAACAAATGAATTGCCTAGCTTAGCTACATTCTTACCCTGTATGTTCACAATAGTCAAGTTTCTGGGGTTACTTCAGCACCATACCAATAAAATTTCTTCCCCCTCCCCCACCTCCCCCTCCTCTCCTTTTGCCCTACAATGTTTAAACATCAGTGTGACTATGTTTTGGTGGGTGTTTGTTTCTTGTTAACAATGTTGGTGGGTGGTTCTTTTTCCTAATTGTATAGGTGGATGCAATTATATTTTGATATAAAAAAATATATATTTACACTGTATTATTATACTTTGTGTCCCTGTTGCACCCCTTGCATAAGAAAAACATAATGGGTGGGATTTTTACAATGCATAAGACAAATTTTCCCATACGACATCTCTAAAAAATATGCGTTTAAATGTCAGAAATAAATTAAATAGCATTTATGAATATATCTACATTAAGTAATTTTTAAGTACTGTAGGTCTACTGTATGTGTAACAAAATATGTTTCAACTTTTTAATATCTTTTTAACATATAATTTTAGTAATTTTGTCACCAACTCCTAATTTTTTTCTAGCACTTGCAAATTTTAGCAGAATATGTATAAAATATTTTAAACTGAAAATCCTACCTGCAATTAAAAATATCGGCAAGACTATCTTCATTAAAGTCGTAGACACACCATCATCCAGGGCACTCATGGTGCTGACCCTGCGAAGTGCACAGCTTTATGGCAAATAAAGCTAATGTACGAATGTATGTGTTTTTGTCATCGACAGGAAGCCAGCTGCTGAACTCTGATAGCCATTTCCCAGGTTGTCAACCCTGGTTGGAGTATAGTACACTTACACCTGGCAGTCAAGAAAGAAAGGAAGGGAGAATATTCAGTGAAGATACAGTAGTAGACCTCAAGGTCATTTACATAGATTGATCGTTGATTGTTGGAATACATCATTGAGTCTATTCTATCTTATCCTATTGTAGTGTATACTGAATACCAATTTAATCCAATGGTACTGCAGTGGAGCATTTAATAGTACTGTATTGTAGTACTTTTCATACAGTAAGTATAACATCAGTTTAACATACTGGACCCTATTAAAAATATGTATTTATTTAATGTGCTGTAAGCTATAAAAAATGTTAACACTTACTTATATCCTGGAAAATCACTATGCATTCTATTTTGATTCATTTTAATTAGGCCTATGTTTTGATGTAATAAACTCAAATAAAAAAAATCAAATTAAATCCTTATGGTTACAAAGCACTAACTACCACCCACTTCGTTTTCAAAGTTACATAATACTAAATAGTGGTTGGTGTAATAGAACTCTACCTACTCAAGTAAATGGAATGTAGAAACCCTTTTTACGCAATTTATAAAAGAAAATCCAATGTTCAACCAATTGGAAAAATATGTCAGTAGGAATGAAACCATTTGACTAATTGTGTTACAAAATCTATGGATAAACTAACTCTCCTTCAATCAATTTAGAAACCAGTGTATTGTAAATATTTTTTTTTTAAATAAAATTACGAACAAAATAAACAATTATAACAATTGTTTATCTCCAGGATAAGAATAATTTTATGTTTTTTGAGTGCAAAACAGTATGGTAGACAATAGTGTATCCAGTTTTGAAAAAAAACTGAGTGGTCACTTGATAATTATATTTATAAAATGAATTTTTTAACTTTCTGTGACCTTGACATTGATTTTTTCACCCCCCTCCCCCTATTCAACACTCCTTAGACTAATATGTACCTCTCAACCTAAGTTTATGATCATCCATTTATTAATTTTTGCATAATCCCACTAATAACAGACAATGGCTATGAATACATAAATGTACGTGAAGGTGGTAATTACAGTTAGCAAAAAAATGAAATACAGTATACTGTATCTATCTATTATGAGTCTTGTGTTACCAAACATGATATAATTATTGATGACAAAAGAAGATTGATTTTGGTTGTTGAATCAACTTAATAACTTAAACTTTATAATAAACCTTCGCATTTCTCTGAGCGAAAAACCAAAAAGAGAATTAAATAGTTTTTTTGCACCATGTTAATTTAAATGTAAAACAGCTATACCCAAGTGTGAAATCTTGAAAATTAGAGTGTGACAATGTGATAGTGCATTAGACATGTCATCTTTTAAATTGTATGGTTATAATTTTCATTGAAAAACTGGTTATAATAAAATATCATTGCGTTTTGTGAGATCAAACACCATGCAAGAAGCACGGTGCTTGAGGATGTTATCTCTTGAACAAACCAAGCAGTAATAGTTTATGGTTTAGTTTTGTATGAGGACTTCAACTTCAAAGCAGGAAGTCCTTGGACTACTAATTAACTTACCGGTATTAAGCATTTAAGCATGTTAACAGAAACAAAACAAAGAACACAAGTCTTTAAAACCTGAAATAGGCCTAGTACTATATGTAGGCCCTTCACAAGATATGATTATTTTATTATGCATTATGAAGCAAAGGTAGTTGCGTCCAAGATTACACTTGCAGAATCTTCAAGCTAAGCTACTGTACACTTTAGACAGAAACTAAGATTAGGATAGGCTCACCTACTGTAATTAGCTAGTTAGTTCTAGGTAGTCTCCAGGCCTTATTCCTACTAAACTGTACACCATAGAAAAATCACACTAAGACAAACAGCAAAAGGAGGCAAACAACTTTAACACAATAATAGATTTTTTTAAATAAAAAAACTTTCAATTCATATATAATTGTTCAATTTCTTGTTAAAATTTATAACCCTGTTTACATACTACAGTATATTTCACTGGCCATGTTTCAGAAATAATTGCATTGATATTGCATACAGAATGTACTGATGTCGACAAGGAACTATGATCTTTCACTTTCACTAGCTATGAAATTTTGATATACTATATAAGAGACATAAAAAAAAAGTTTGCTCATTTCCTCACTGACAGCCTAGACAAATAAAGGCAGTAGTGTAAGTTTAACAGAATTTGGACAATTGTTTAAGATCATTTTTATTGATTACCGTATTTATTAGAATAAATGCCCCAGGATATCTGTTGTTGAGAAGGGTTTTTGAGGGTGTGTTTAACCAATAGTAAAAAGATTGGGGAACACAATGTAATATATAACATATAAAAGCAGTGAACATTCAAATAATTAAAACCTTAAAATACAGATAAAATAAATAATAAATAACACTTTAAAATAATATAGGCCCAGTCATTAACGTGTAAAAAAAAAACATGATTTAGAAAATTATAAACTGCTGCCCGCGCCCGGTGGCTTCATTCTTGGCATTGATTTTTGCTCCTTTGCCGTTTTGGTCTATGCCTATTGCCGTTTTGGTAGTTACATTGCCGTTTTGGTCTGTTGACATACCCTTTGGTACTTATCATTGCCATTTTGGTTTATTGCCGTTTTGGCATAGTTGAAAACTATATGGATTGACCGTGAGACTCACAGATAAATTATCATTTACCAGTTTTACTACGGAAGAAAAACTCACGGATTTCAAGGTTACTCACGGATCAACTAATAAACAATGATTTACAAATTGCATTTACAGTAATATGCAGTAAATAGATCATTTACCATTCGTCTGTAGTGTTTATAGTGGAGCAAAGAGTAACCCAAGGCTATGTGCAAGCCCAGTACGCTCAACGTTAGAATTGTAAACAAACAACCCCTTTACGCCCCCTACCGTCAGTGTGCTTTTATTACCCAGTAATGCACCACGCATGGTTTGTTTGTTTGTTTATCTGTTTTCCACGTGAAAGTACTGTCTGTACATCGTGATTCATGATTAAAGCATGGACCTATTAATAAGATTAATAAGATCTTATTAATAGGTCCATGATTAAAGTTAGTCCGTAAAAAATGTTTTTATTTTTAATACACCAAGCAACTGTAGGGTACTCATCCTAAGTTTACAGTACTGTCCTTTGGTCAAATTTAAATGAGTATAACTTTTTGGTTTTATTAGGTTTACATACACTTGACTTAATTTAGTGTCCAAGATCAATCAAATCAGTAGTGAAAAAAATGCTAAGATTGTGCGAGCGTCAAATGCTTGTCAACCTGTCCCCCGGGGCCTCTCCCCTGGACCCCCAGCCAGTGGTGCATTGCTACGCAATGCAAGTTCTCACAGATTTCTTTTGTGAAAAGTTGGCAACTATGTTTTGGTCATTGCCGTTTTTAATTAAAGTTTTGGTCACTGTCGTTTTGGTTTTTAACCGTTTTGACCTGCTCACCTAGGCATACAGTAGGGGCCTAGGCCTAGAAGAATTTAATAATAATATTAATAACAATAATAATAATAATGTTTATTTGGAAATCATAGTACAGTTAGCTAGGCATACCCAGGTAAAACTAGGCTAGGCCTATAAAGGGCCTCCAATCTAACTTCGTTATACATACTCATACATACATAGCCTTTCTTGAATTGAAAGCCCAGACCGCGTTCACGTAGTACCTAGTTAGATTGCTACTACTAGGCCTAGTTAAAAAAAGAGGTAGGCCTAGGTAGGAAGGAGACGTCCGTCTTGGTTAGGCCTACGTACGTACCGTAGCCTACATAATAATTACTATTAAGACAAAGCTAGGGCTTAACATAAAAATACTTACCAATTAGAAGCACCACGGCTTAGTTACAGTGATACTGTCCGAAGTTGAAGTATAAATTCAATAACTTACTACTTTAAACTTATGTTCAATTAGTGAGTTGTTCTGTACTCTATAGCTATGTGGCCATGAAATCCGCCGTTGTTTAGAAAATGTTTTGTAAAGGGCGCCACCTTCAGAACGCGTACCGGCAAACTTCTTAGATGACGCCGTAGGCCTACCCCTCCCCTTACCCACCGACCCACACCCTCGCCCGTGCATGACACTTCAAACTGTATAAATAACATGAAATAAACATTACCAATGACGAAAATCATACTTGATTTTATTGATAGATTAATTGATTGTTCGTTTTAATGGTCGATTGATCGACATTCTCTTGCCAAGCACTCTCCCCCTCTCTCTCAATATATATACCTATCTCATGAATAGGCTCTCCTCTCCTTGGAATACCATCCATGAAGTGCTGAATATTCTGAGATTCTGTAGAAATCACACCATGGCCTAAAGTATTAGTTTATAATTAAGCCAGACTGCTACTAGTCCGTTATGTATGGTAAACTAGGCCTAGTTCTAGCAAAGGGCCTGAGTCGACGACGTATGAGCAAAATTGTCGCTCCACCGGCGGGCCAATGATAAATCAGTATACTAGGCCTAGCTATAAAACGGAAAAGACTCGAAATAAAACGTCAAAACAAATTTTCATCTAGCGTAAGAATAACAATAATTGATAATACTATCTAATAGTACTGTAACACATGGAAATCTGTAGCTCACCTAGGCCTAAAATTGTAAAATTTAGTGAAATCAAACATGGTCTACCTACAAAGAAATTAACTTTCGTTTGTCATCGCACATAAAAAAACGTGGAGGCATGGTATCTAACATAACATAAAACTAAAAGGATCCGCTGAGTGTCGAGTAATTTTCGCAACATTCGTAACCGCCTGGGTTCGTAACCTCCCGCATTTTATCGGAAATATTCGCCAGATTAATTATGAGCGTTGATTAGTAGTCGGCTCGTGATCAAATGTGTCGACTGGACCGACTGGTACCGAGATTCACAGTCACTTACCTCGGCAAACCATTTGATGACATAGTAGCTACTTTCAGTAGCCACAAAAATTAGTGGACGCTTGGGAATAGGCAAATAACATTGGGAGTTACAGTGATGACGTCACGATTGACTTATAATGTAGTTTAGCTCTAAAATAATGTCGGAGCTTCCAAGTATAAGCAGTCCTTGTGATAAGTCTGCCCTTACGAAATTAGATAAAATATTACAGGATGAGTCTCACCCACTTTTTGGATACATAACTTTTAACAAATCAGGAAGAATCAGACAAACTACTGTTAAAACAAATCGGTTAAAGAATTCATTCATACCTCACACATGTCAGCTCTACAATAGTCAATTCTCCAGATAATCAGTATTATTTGGGTACTTTTGTTGTCTAAGCTCAATTCCACTGTCTTTCTCTTTAGTTAAGTTAGTTAGGCTTTTTGGCGCTATTGTATTTGTGATATATTTATATTTTATGTGATGTGTTTGTGTTTTTTGTTTTTAATGTATAAGCACAGGAAAGCAAATCTCATGTATATTTTTTGTATATGTGACAATAAAACTTATCTTGAATCTTGAATCTTCAATACATTGTATAATAAAATTCCTCAGACGGGATTCGAACCTGCAACCTCTAGCTGTCAAAGCGAGCGTCATAACCCTTAGTCCACAGAGGCTTCACTGTTAAACAGATTCAAATACCGTAGATACGCTCCATTACACAATAGGTACGGCTAGATATATTAACATATAATATATAAATCAAGATAGCCGTTATAAAGGTAAGATAACTATAGTGTTCGAATAAAGGACATAATAATAGTACATCGTATAGCATAACTCTCAAGAACTGTTGTTGTCCTTTCCTATCATATAAATAAATAAATACATACATTGTGTAATAAAATGCCTCAGACTGTCAAGGGCCTTCGTCATAACCATTAGACCACAGAGGCTTCGTCGTTGAAAAGATTCAAATACTGCCAGATGCATTCCACTACACAATAAGTACGGCTAGAAATAAATAGTAGCATATAATATAAATCAAGATAGCGTTCATCTAGGACTATATTATTATTATTATTATTATTATTATTATTATTATTATTATTATTATTATTATTATTATTATTATTATTATTATTATTATTATTATTATTATTATTATTATTATTATTATTATTATTATTATTATTATTATTATTATTATTATTATTATTATTATTATTATTATTAATTTCCTCAATACTTTTGTAATTTTTTAAAAATAATAAAACAGAGGTGGCAGCATATCCATTACCAGTATTTGAGCATCCGGAAATAGAGCCTACTACAAAAATGGCGATATTCAGTGTTTACGTTGTAAATCGAGCAGGAGGATTGATTTATCAGGCGGACTTTACCCAGCCAAAGACAGAGGTCGAAAAGACGTTTGGTTTTCCTTTAGAACCTACGCTTAAGTTGTATGATGAGCGGATGGTAGTTTCGTTCGGGCAAAGAGATGGTATAAAAGGTAACTTTAATGCAGCTAAGCTAGGTAGGCCTAGGCCCCTAGCTATTCTATATAGGCTAGAAGTAGTAAGCATGTCCTACTGCTCCTAGGCCTAGGGTAGATAGGCCTAGGAAGCAGGCTGGGCTTAGACAGGCCTAGCTAGGCCTGCTAACTACTACTCTATATAGCCTATAATAGGCTAATAGGCCTAGGCTAGTAGTAGTAGTCCTGGCCTACTAGCCTAGGACCAGACCCTAGTCTAGAGTACTAGGCTAGGTAGGCCTAGCTAGGTCCTAGTAAGTAGTAGTAGTAGAGAAGGAGGGTAGGGAGGTGGGTCCGGGGGAATACATACAGACAGGCTCGATACAGTGGAAGCAAGTGTGAGACTGTTCCGGGTCATTTTGTCCCATCATAGGGACGAATCTAGGCGATTCTAGGTTTCTTTCGGCTCAGAGTTGATCCGGCCCGGGCTGAAACCCGGGTTAAGGCTGAAACGACTCGTGTCAGAAGTTGAAGATCATGCATTGTGGTCGCGATTAAAACAGGTGCAGTATGGAACGCCAAGTACGCACTAGTATTTTATTTGGGTTCTGTACAGTATTTTTAAAAAGTTTTTTGTGTGTAATGATTTTGTCCTTTTTATGATGCCTGGCTATAAATAATATTTTTTTATGTATTTTTCAGTATGATTATTATTTAAGTTTTACGATTGTTATTTTCAGATATTTTACTCTTTGGAAGAGATTTTTTGAATGTAATTGTAATTTTAGCGTGTTTTTCAGTACAGTATGTAGTGTTCGATATTCAAAAAAACAACGGTTTTTTTTGTCTTTGTGCCTGTGCCCCCTCTGGGGCAAAGACACTGTGTTGTCATCTGGCAGTTAAAGATGGCTGAAAATGTAAATCCGGTGGAGGTGCAGGATGGGTCATGTGTCATCTTAAGTGTAGAAAACTGTACATTGTAATCAGTTACTGTAAAATGTGAATACTCAGAATATACAGTACTTTTTTCTTTATTTTCTGTTGATTAAAAATTGAGCAGGAGATACAGTAGATCAATGTACCAAACGGTAAAATATATTCCCTGCGTAAAAATTAGGTCTAGGCCTAGAAATCCGAAAATAATGGCCGATTTCCATGCAAATTTTGCTGAAAATTGGAGTGGAGTTAAATAGCTCAGTAGTTAAGATGCTTGTCTTCTGATCCCAGGGTCCTGGGTTCAATTCCTGTCACAGCAGGAATTTTCTTACGACCAAAACCAACTCCACTCCCTAAGCCTCAGAAAAAGACTTAGTTTATAAATCATCATTCTCATCCTGTAAGTGGTGGTGAGTTCATTCAGAGTTGGATGTGAAGAAAATAAAAAAATAAAAAATGAAAGAAAGAAAATTAGGCCTTGGCCTATCTCAGAATATAAACAACATATTATTATTATTATAAAGTATTTATGATTCTGTGCATATATTTTTTAGAGGCTATTTCTCATAGGAGATTACCATTTCCTTAACTTTTTCATTGCTAGGCAAATTCAAAAGTTGTGGATCGCATCCACTGGAATGCTCCCGCTTTTGTGTACTTTATAAGTCAATAAAGTGCACCCTCTCTAATGAGATTAGTTTTTGTACTTCGTATCTTGCACACTGTGGTCGACCGAGAAAGGCCTGAGACATGTTTGTTTAATTGTCAAAATCTCGGTCAGAACCATTTTTTTAAACAAATTTTAAATAATTCCAATGAAATATTGTGTTTCACAAGTGTTTTTAATATTTAGCAACAGAAAATATAATGTCGGCCATTTTTATGTCTGATAACAGAACCAAAATAGATAGGCTAGACCTAGACTAGCAGTGTTGGATGGGCTCATTTTTCCGGTGCCTACTATATTTCTTCGCAGACCTATCGAAAATCAAACAAAAAATTTGTCTGTGTTTATTTTTTGTGTGGAACACAAAAAAATCAAATTTTAGTCTTACTTAATATTTTTTTCACGTTTAGGAATGTCGAAGTTCAGTTAAACTAGCAAATTCGTATTATATTTATAAATCTTTATAACATATATAAAAATCAGATTTTTTCTTAACAACTGAAATTTTGCCGGGAATGGGGCTTTAAGTATGAAAAAGTTATAATTTAGCCATGGAAGTTTCTCAAAAAATGTTTTGTTTTTATATCATTATTTGTTATTTATTAACTAATTGTCAATTCTCCAGTTGGACACACAGTTTTAGCCATCAATGGTGTGCCATCGAAAGGCAGACAGTTGGAGGATGGACGTGATATTCTTGAAGTTGTTGCTAATCCTGAGAACTATCCAATTGCAATAAAGTTTGGACGTCCAAAGTTATCGGTCAATGAGAGAATTATGTTAGCATCTATGTTCCACTCGTAAGTATGCATTCATAGTCAGTCCTGCATGTATAGTAGGCCTATCATCCATTGTAAATTTGTTATGCTGGTTTTGTCATTTATTCAGGAATATTCATTGTTCTGTTAATAAAGGTTATATGCCATTGGATGTCAGCTTTCTCCAGAGCAAAGGTCATCTGGGATTGAGTGTCTAGAAACAGACACTTTTAAACTACACTGCTTTCAAACACTTACAGGTAAGCAGGTAGACCTATCTACTAAGCTCCAGACGTAAATGAATTAGTTGGTGAATTGTGCCAACTATCAGCAGTATCAGCAGCAAAAAAAAAAAAATTCTAAATTATTCTTTTTGAAATTGGGGAAAAAAGAAAATTATATTCAAATTTAAGTCTGAGATTGCCATTTCTAGAGGTGCCATAATCATACATTTTCTTACCTCATCCCCAACCATGGTGGGGCTGTGTTAGTGTAGACCCTCCCTCTCTGAAAGTCCCTCCCTGGGCCCCCTCCATTTCTAAAATCATGAATCTGCCGCTGAGTACCAAGGTAATAATTGTACATGCACAAAAGCATGAAACAAGGGTTGGGGAGGTGGGGATTTAAGTTCATCATTGATATGGTGGTAGGCTTTCAGTAGGTTTTAGGTTGTACCATAGTCATAAGAAAAATACCTTAAATGATTGCTTAATCCTAATAAAATTGTATTTGAACAAGTAAAACATGTTTGATTAAGTAATGTATGTTTAATTTCTTTCAGGAATCAAGTTTATTTTGTTAACAGACCCCAAACAAACTGGTATTGACAATCTCCTGAAGAAGATCTATGAAATATATGCAGATTACGCCTTAAAAAACCCATTCTATTCTGTTGATATGCCAATTAGGTAAGTTACATGTTAATATGTGGCTAATTGTACCAAAGTCAGCGGTCCCAAATTTCACACAAGTTGCACAGGTCTTCTGCACTTATGCGAACTCATGAAAATCAACCGATCACCCAAAAAATGATGATTTGTGACTGTTTTTACTGGTGTATTATCTATTGTCTTCAACTGGCCATGGATATCATTGCAGGCAGCAATATACAAGTAGATGTGTTATGAATCCCTTTAAAGTCGGCTCTAGAGGAAAACAAATTTTTTATATGTTGTACAACTGCTTTTTCTAAGACACAAAAAATATATTTGACGAAAAACTCGAGGACGGTTAATGAATATAGATTTTTGAATATTTAAAAACTGGGGAAACCTAGTTTTCCTGACTTCAAACTAGATCTCCTGTAATATGTTTTATTCCAAAGTTGGGACCCCTGCTAGATGGGAAAATTGGTTGCACTAGCTGCAGATATTAAGTGAATTTTAGCTACTTGAGTGTACAGTAATTTATTTTGGGGTAAAAGTGTTCCCACCCAGATTCCCTCACAGGAAAGATAGGCTTTAAGATAAACATGGATTTTCATTTTAGTTAGTAATGAGAACTTATATTATGCATTCCATTTTGCTTATTGTAAATTGTTTTTTCGCCAGGTGTGACTTGTTTGATAGTAGCATCCAAAGCATGGTGGAACAAGTTGACCGTGGTGGCGTATATGCAGGCGGCTTATAATGGGAAAGGAAATGTCGCTGGGCCTATATGCGGGAGGCTAACGATAGGACAGGGAAACATTGCTGGGCGTATATGCGGAAGCATTATGATGGGACAGGGAAATGTCGCTGAAAAGTACACGATCATGTATCAGATATAAACTGGTCTAAAGTACCTGTTTTTTTATCAGGATATACAAGATACAATTCATTTATTGTCAAATACATTCATAATGTATAAAAAAAATTCATATATGGACCTATAATTGGTCTATTGTTCATATATATGGCACTATTTAGGTTTATAGTTCATATAGGGCAGTGTGTATGTCTGTGAATCATATATGAATCTAAACTCTAGTTCATATTGGTCATGTTAATTTCGACAACCATATCAGTCTTTGGTTCATATAATGGCAATTTGTTCAAATATTGGCGTTCATAATAGTATGAAATTTTATATCCTGCCGAATCTGCGTCAAAAAAGTGTACACTCATTTTGCTCGTGTATTTTAAAATGTGGATGTTGACAGGTCTGCGTTGAAAGGTCAATGTTTCATATGGCACTTTATAGGTCTGCAGTTCATATATTATTGTGCTACTCTAGCTATATGGCACAGTGTCATATATAACACTTTTAATTGTCATATATGGCAATATAAGTGTTATTATTATTATTGTTGTAACTATTATATTTGGTAAGTCTTATGCTTAGTGCAATGTAGGCTAAGTTTACAATAAGGTAGACATACACAGTTTAAAGTACAAGAGGAATTATTTTTCAGACAATGACCTTGGCCATTCTTGTCTGCTAGAGTTACTCGTCACCTAATATTTTACTGTCAATTTATTAGACACACCATTTTGATGATATATGATTGGATAAAATTCAAAAAAAGTATGTGTGTGTACATGTGAACTTGTTTTTGGCACACGAGAAGGAACCTAAAAAAATGTCTGGCAGTCAACGTGTTAATTTGGCTTTAGACTACTAAATAATTGATCATAGTACTTCAATTATTATGTGTTCTGAAAAGCTTACATCTGTTACACTACTCTCAACAAATAGAAATATATATGTGTACATAATGCTATTATCTTTGTGTAAATTATGTTTATACCAGTGTTTAATATTTAAACAATTTATTTACATTATCAACTTTTAATCTTAATTAGAAGGTGAAATTATATTTAACCGTTTTATTAAATAGATTATAATAATTCCAAGATATTGCCTATCTTGCATCAACATTGAATAAGACATACATTAAAGTACAGTGGGTATGTGAACATATCTCGTTTTTTTCACTGAAGTCCACTTTTTAACTTAAATCTTTAAATGTTTGTGATTTATTTCATTTTGTTGTTTGGTAATCTACACACGCACTCTTTATATAAGACCTCTGCAGAACATTAGAAGTAGAAGTAGGTAAAGATTTCGCTTCCTTAAGACAATGAATATGTCATAATAATCGTCATTCATGCCTAAAACATCTTGATAATATGCTCATGCCCTACGAGCAGGCCTTAGACTTGCCACAAGTCTCTTATTTTTTTATTATTTTTCTCATTCTGGACAGCGCCACCAACGAGAAAGTTAATTTAGAGACGAAATCCGAAAAAAAGAAATCGAGTATGGGACGCCAATTAAATTAGGTATGGCGCGCACTAAGTGCAATAAAGAGTGAGTAACCCAAAATTAGGGTCTGGAACCCAAGCTAGAGTAGGCCTGTGTACGAGCTAAATATGATCCTTGGTTTATGGATCCCCAAACGTTGTGACAGGTACAGTATGCTACTGTAGGGGGAAGGGATGTCTAAAAATTTGATGACATAACTATTCGTTATCGTTTTAATAAGCTTGCGAAAACTCCCTATTTCCAACAGGCCCGTATCCAGGGCGAGGGGGGTTTATGGTTCGGGAGAACCCCCCTTTTCTAGCAAACCTCATCTTTTCTGGCGAACCCCCCTCTTCAAATTTCCCAAATAAGTCCTCCAACCCAACTAATGCACTGCAGACCCACCCAGACAAAGACCTTTTCAAACATATCTGCTTTTATAGCATTATTTAGACCCATAAAGCACAAAGATCCCCTTGCTTTGGGGGTTTTGTCGACCCCACTGGGGCTTCGACCGTGGACCTCACGTCCAGAAACCGAACCCCCCCCCCCTTGGAAGAACCTGGCTACGGGCCTGTCCAAGTTTTTTGAATTTAATAATAAATCTTTAATTTGCCTTCCTTAATAATAATAATAGTAATAGTTATAATAATAATAATAATAGTTATAATAATAATAATATTTTAGCAAATAGAACTTATTAGCTCTTGGGTTTTTGTTTCTTCTCATCTTTATCTCGTGATTGATGTATCATTGTAGTTAGACCGCCAAATTTTACTAGCATTTGTTCAGCTTACTGACTTCTATGAATATTCATATTAATTCCATGCATCCGTCGAATCTAGAAAAACAAGCAATATTGTATTTTGACTGATTACAGATTGGCTTAACAGACACCTTTTTCAAAGAGCTGCGAAACTTTCCACATTTTTTTGTGTGCAATTTACAATATGTTATACTGATTTGCAAATGGTTGTACCTGTTACTGCGGTTGTGGCTGTTCTACTTTCCTGGGACTTCGAGTGGACCTTCCCTTTACCGCGTATACCACTATGATGAGATGACCTCAATCTGTGTACGTAGCGTTGAGCTGCTTTCTTTACCTAAAGTGAATTACATTGTTAAAATTTTCAAATATTATTCAAAGGTATTTTAAAAAATGAACAATATTTCTAATAATAGGTCTTTGGAAATACTTTAAAAACGTATAATTACACTACTGTACCTCTTCGTTCATGACACAATGAAGAATGAATATGAATGCTCCCTTGAAGAAAAAAAAACAAAAAAAAAAACAAAGAAGAACAATTTCATAACAAGTTTTCTATAATAATTATAATTAAATCGGTCTGAATATTCAATTGTTTGAATGAGTGATGTCTGAATTATTATACCGTTATCGTTCGGTATCGTTATAGCATAGATAAAGAAAAATAGTTATTATCATCATCATCACTATCATGTTTGTTTTAAAACCCTCTCGAAACAGTTATTTATATACACATTTTTCAGTGATGTAATTTTTCCTGATAGTCATAATTGCTGTTTCAACGACTCAGTATCATAGTTAACAAAAACAAACTTCTATTTTTGTATTTGAGCAATTGTACGGTGTGATAGGCCTACATGTTACTGTAATGTATAATGTACCTAGTTTTAATACATTAATTCAAGTTCAACAGTACGACACTTACCTGTAACGAATTGCAGATAACGAAGAGATATTGAAAAGATATCGCCCATGAGAAGTTGAAAGACAAAACTCCAAATAACCATGTGACACCAAGCAGTGGCTGAAGAAGTAAAATGGCTCGCAGGTTTGACCTGTGGTTTAATAAAAAAAAAATTGTAATGGAGATATAGGCCTAGAACCTGGTATGCCATTGTAGAAATCATCTAATAAATGTGTATATAATTTGAACATTAATCTTACTTCATTCGTTCAGTCCTTGCTTTGTCTGCATTGGCCTTCAGTGAGGTAAATGTTCTGATGACACTCACCATAATCAGTGTATTAATCTATGATTTAAATAAGATTATGATAGTATCTATTATTGAATATGAACATTCGATTGTTCATATTCAATAATAATATGAACATTCGATTGTACATATTATTGAATATGAACAATCGAATGTGAACAAAACAAGGCTGATTTCAGCAAAATGCATATTTTCATTGCTGGGGGGATTTTATTGTTTTGATTTATTTATGCCTACTTGTTTGTAATGGCAACGATTTCTACCTCCACAAAAGAAGATTATGTATTCACAGTTATGTAACGGTGCAGAAGTTTTTTAGATCCAGTCGTATGCGGCGCCCCATTGTTTGTATTTTTTTTCTGTGGAGAACTCTATCTTGTGTTTTTTGAGTATCTTTGGTTTGATTGCATTCCTGGAAGTTCCGTTTACAGTAAGTATGCATTTCAGCACACAATCACGCACTACCCGAACGTTGTTTTTCATTATCTCAATAATTATTTTTTAAAAACTTACCATTCCAACAATAAGTACTGGTGCAACAAATGCCCAAATAACTCCATCATTTAAGCCCAACCAGCACCTACAGTATGGTGAAATGTATACAGTAATTGGTTAAACATAAGCACAGGGGCGGATTTAGGGGGGGGGGGCGGCCCGGCCCCGGCCCCCCCTTTTGGGAGGTAAAAAAAAGAAAAAAAAAGAAAAAAAAGAGAGAAAAAGAAAAAAATGATAGTCCAGAATGCCTCAAATGTTATGTTCGGGCGTCTAGAATACAAAAATTTCGCGGGCATGCCCCAGACCCCCTACGACAGTGTTGTCTCAATCGGCCCAACTTTCGGCCCCCGCTTCCGGCCCCCCTTTTGGACATTTCTGGATCCGCCCCTGTAAGCATACACCTAATTTCACAAGTTAGAAAATGTATATAAAAAAAAATGGAACAGAAATCGTTAAGATGTGGGCAGAAAACCCCATCGAATAAAATCAGAAACTATTAAACTACAGTACTAACAGCAAAAGATAGTGCGTTGCTCCAAACACTTAGACATACATAACTGGAAAATAGCTGGAAAGGTGAAGTGATTTTTTAAATTTTTAATTTACAACTATTGCCAAAGATGTTTTGAAACAGATGTCGCAAAATGCATAGGCCCAATTCAATGGAATGTATATTTTAGGATTATGACACACATAGTTTTAGATTATGATATTACAAAATGTCAGTTGTCATCTTAGACTTACGCAACACCCGAACCGTATCCACTGTATCTGGCACAAAGCGTTATGCCAACAATAATTATGGGTGAACCTAATTTTAAAAGAAATGAAATAGGGTTATCTCATTATAGGCCTACTATTCGTAGTGACGTGTGTTAGTCATCGGGCGCGCGCGTCTCTGGGCAAACAAGGCAATTCAACAAATGAGACAACCAGAAGACAGGAGCTCAATGAGATTTTTTCTTTCAGTAATTTAATAGCATACGTAAAAACATGTATACTGTCTCATCAAAATGACATAGCTCGGGTACAGGGACTCAATTCATCATCAATTTTTAATTAATTTTATATAAACCACGACCATTAATTTTTGCAATATCCATATGTATACTGTGTTTTAGTATTTTCAATTAAAATATATTAATCTTTTTGAGTTTTATTATTTTATAAATATTAATCTGTTTAACAAATCAAAATAAATTATTCTATAATAGAGTCATTTTCATTTTAGAATTAGTCACGGATCTCATGAAAATGAATGCTTCTATTATAAGATTGTGAAAATTGGCTCGTCTCAGAAACTGTCGAAAAATCTTACCCCAGCCAATGATAGCATAGTGGATGATCTTCAATGGTTTCCGATGCACTTGACTGGCTTTTACATACAGATATGCGCCCTCGATCATCATCCAGGAAAAAGATGAGAGGAAAAAGTAATGCAAAAAAATTGCAATTACTTTACACGACGTCTGTATGATGAAAAAATAAATCCAAAATAAAGGTACTGTACTACTATGCATTTTCATGGTTGTTTGACGTTGGGCACGCGGCCTAACATGGAGGTATGCAATTGTTAAATAATTTTATACAGTAACCCCCCCCCCCCCAAATGTTTGAATAACAATCAGTTCTGGGAAAAAATTCTAAATAAATAAATCTTAATGTTCTAACCTGGTTTTCAGTAGCGTCGATCCCAGTAATGAATAGCACATGTGCAAGGAGTAACGACAGCGTCAAGTTTGCATGAATAGCTACGTTCCTTAGATGGAGTAGCCTATAAAATAGTTATAATAATAGTTAATAATCAGACTCGTAACCAGGAGTGATGTGGTTCTATGGTTCGGAAGAACCCCCTTTTAGAGCAAACCCCTTCTGATAAACCACCCACGCTTTTCATCAAATAACAACAAATATTTTTATTGCCCTTATTTGTAAGCATGCACTAAATTAGTTATCGTACTTTAGGTGTTACATTGATATGTTGTACAACTGATTTCTTTAAGACACAAAAAGCATATATGACGAAAAAACTCGGGAACGGGTAATGAGGAAGATTTTTTAATATTTAAAAACTGGGGGGAAATGGAAAAGGGATAGTTACGCCCCCTTTTCTTTTTCCGAGTTTTTCGTCAAATATGCTTTTTGTGTAGAAAAATCAGTTGTACAACAAATCGGCATATTGGCTTTAATAGATTTTTTAAATAGAATAATAATAAATAAATAGAATAACAAGTACAGTAATAGCAATATTCTATCTAGCTAAAGTTCTATTATAAGATGATGATTATTCAAATAGCTTACATTTACTTGCAAATATTATTTGTTACGATTATATTAATGAGGGTCAATCGTTAATATCATTACTACATTATTATTATTATTATTATTATTATTATTATTATTATTATTATTATTTGTAAATACAACAAATGAAACAAAATATTACTAATAAATGCATCTTACCGTAGCAGAGTGTATGTCATCAGTGTAAAAATCAGGCATACTATTGAAATAGAGACGCCGATAAGCGTAATAATTCGTAAAGCTTCGTCGTTGTCCTCGCCAATGTCAACCTAAAAATAATGAAAATAAATACGCCAAAGCTTCAAAGACCTGAGTTAATACATACGATAATTCAACCAATCCTCTTCATTACCATTTTTATGATTTATATAATAATGACGATAATTAAATAATAATTGATAAATGAGGCTAATGACAATGTCTTTGAAGCTACAGAAAGAAAATTAAAGCCATTGACTCTCAACTAACATTTTTCTATTACATAATAAAAATGATAATGTAATATTTTTTATTGTTATTGTTTCTTTTACCTGAGTAACACAATCAATGATTTATTTTTTATTGTATTCAATTCATCAATCTACATAGATTTAAAAAAATATTTAAATGATAACAGTAAACCATTCAAATTAATATAAATCTCACCTCAGACACTTGCATCAGCACGGCGAATGACGTCAAGTGATCACAGAAACACGTGACCCATGAGTCGTTATACGACGACACAACGCAACCATCGTCAGACCAATAACTGAGAATGTCAGCGAAACGTGTTATGAGGTAAAACCTCTGACATATTTAAGAAAATATTATTATTTGGTTATATTATCATCTGTTTTTTTTTTAAATTCCCAACTACTGCGCAACAACACTCGGTCTATGCTCAGTAGCTGTGGTGAGTGGAGAGTGGTCTGTATGTCAAATCGGAGAGGTTTCCTATTATTACGCAGTGTCACGGTTACAATAAAAAAATACTGCAGTGACAACAATGTTATGAAAACCAGGTTTAAGTTTAGCTCAAATTGGCCAACTGGAATATAGGAGTTGCCTAGAATCCCCGGCCTGGTCAAAGAGAAAACCACAATTGGATCGCAACTTTCTATTCGGCAGTCAGTAATGCCAGTACGTCGATCAAAGCGCTCAAACCGGGCACTCACTGCGTCGTCATACGGTACGACGAATCCGATTTCGCTCCCTGAAAGCGCTAAACTACGCGACGCCTTCTGCTGATTGTCGATGGCAGTTTGAACGTATCGTCATTGAAAATGATCCGTTTCGCGCGCGTAGTGGCGTTGCGATCTTCATAGAATAGACCTTTCCGGAGTGTCAATCAAACTTAACAACTGACTAATCAAAACAGCGCTAGGAATACGCGCGCGTCTCACAAACCCACGTGCTGTGCCACAAACGCACGTGTTCGCGTATGTTTTAACACTGTCGCTTTGTGGGACCTTAGCAACAATATCCAAGGGGCGGGGCTTAGCGGAAAGGTCTATTACGTTGGCCGCCGACGACCGTCGGGCGCAGTGAGTACACGGCTTATACGATGCAAACAAATGCTGCCGCGTCGACGGCTTTGCCTCACTTGAAGCACTACAGGCCACTTTTGTTAATGACCTAAAAATTGAATAAAAAAAGACTTGACTTGCCTTTCTTTTAGATCCCAAAAAGAGCAGTTCGGGCTTTTAAAATCACCAGACTATTAAAAGAAAAGTGCTTGTTATGTATGAAACTGAGTTAATGCCTAGAAAATGAAAGAAGAAGAAACTTTCTGTGGTGACATCTACAACCGACACCAACGTTTTCAACTCAGATCTTCAAAGTAAAACAATATCGATTAAAAAAAGAAAGTATTGGGAATCCAGATTCAAATCTATCTTAGGTTATATTAAATTTTGGGGCTTATTTTTGTAATTTTTTTTAGAATTATTTTTTATTATCCAAATGTATTGCTGAATTAAAGAGAACCTACACAAGTTAACAATTAAAATAGAGAAAAAAAAATTACAATAGTAATTAATGTAGTTTTGGTCAGCACGTGTTTGATTATGGCCAAATCCTCATTTTGTGCACTACAAGATCGCCTGGTAACAGTAATATAATGTAGTTATATTTATTCGCGCTTTATACCGAAACAGTGTCAGAGGGGGCCGGGGACCAGGCCCCCCGGGGAGAGCTGCTCCCCCCCCCCCCGTCGGGGAGAAAAAAGCACAATTCGTCGGGGAGAAAAAAATATTATATGTATTTTCTAAATATTAGTAGACTCTAAAATCGATTAAATAAGCCTTTAAAAACCCCTAACTTTTCAAAATTTTCGGGGGCTTCGCCCCCAGGACCACTTTCGAAACCTTTTAATCGAAGCTCGACACTCCCACTTTGGTTTCGTCGGGGAAATCTGACCCCTCGTCGGGGACCTCGCCCCCCCCCCACCACCCCTGTCGGACCAATCCTGGCGCACCTGTAACCCAGTACCAGCTACTCTCGTCTGTCCAGGGGACATGAGGAACAACCAGTCTCTTTCCAGATATCAATCAAATTCAATTATAAAATCTCTTGTTTAACATTTTTGAACTATTCTAATTTGCCAAACCCAAAGGAAAAAAGTAAAAGTAAAAAAAAAAAATACAACATACAAGAGTTATTTTCAACTGAAGAAATAAAGCGTCGGATAATGGCAATTCAGTTGTCACGTTTCCAGAACGACTAAACAAATTAACTGAAGTCACGTGTGTGCCGACATGCTCTTCTATTGGGCGAATAAGATGCAAACTCTCGTACACAATAACCAACAGATAATCTGGAAATTAATGTCAGTCTTTCATTTTAGTAGTAATAATATATGACATAGACACGATATAATACAATAAAATACAATAATATGATATGATTTATGATAAGATATGAAATTGAATAACAACAATAACAATTTTAATAATACAGTATATAAAAACTGACCTAATTTATACTCATATTAAAATTGAACATAAAACAATACTGTAAACTGATATTTTTCACAGAGAGGGTATGTTTCTCCGACTGTGCCCTTTGGTTCCGCCGTTGTTAATTTCATAACTAACCATATTTGCCTGTAAAATTTGATGCTGATATTGCTCCGACTACCTGCTCGTCTTTCTTTGTAAATTTTAAACTATCTCCTCCTCTTCCTTCAGATTTTAAATCAACCCATCGTACATCTATGGATAACATAAATTCATAATATGACATGATTTAATAATGCTTGATACGCAATGAGAGTCGTATAGGCTTTAAACTTAGGTGCATCACATCAATATTAGCTGATATACTGTAAAACCGTGCCCATACAATAGCGAAATTTCGGCTCTAAAAATAGATAGACCTCAACAGTAATATAATATGCTGTATAACACATAATATCTGGATACTGCTAATAAACAATTCAATTCAAATTTTATTTCAGACTACTAATGTCAATATTTAAAAATAAAGAAAACGAATATTGTACAAGAGTAATATAAAACAGACATTTGTAAGAGTTGGAACTAACCAGCACCGTCAATGTGTAATAGTTAATTCCACCTATCGTACAATTTCGACTCATAGAGCACGCCTTTTACAAAGGTCCCAACAAACAAGTTATTACTGGCAAGAATGTTATTATCATATATATTGATAGTTCTTACTTAACGCCTTTGTAGATTTGATCTCTTCTTCCTCTGGACTCTTCAAAACAAATTCGATGATCAAACTTTCAACTGTCGACAGGAGTTTACTCGTAATGTCATCATTTTTCTGTCCGTTGGTAAAAAACATATTAAATTATTCTTGAATACCGGTACTTAATTTCAAATTAATAATTTGAATAAATGGCTACGTCATTAGCCTGGTGGCAATATATTTATCTCTTTTCATTTATCTCGTCAACAGAACGTTCACAATGAAAACAATAAAAAATACCGAGGAAAAATCTGTAACTAGCAGTAGTAGGCCTACTTCAGTAGGCCAGTAGTAGTATTAATTCTTGTTGCAGCAAGTTGTAGTAACATTACATTGAACACGTACTTTACCTCTATAGACTGCCTTAGTTGGACGTTGGACAGATTTAGTATAAAGTCCAATTCGTGCAAAACATCAGATAAGATCTAAAGAATAAGTTAAAAAACATAATATAAAGCTGTATGATAACCTTTTGAATATTTAATAACTAAAGCACCAGTAGTAGTAGTATGCCTAGTAGCAGCAACAGGAGCAGTAGCAGTAGTAGCAGTAGTAGCAGCAGTAGCAGTAGCAGCAGCAGCAGTAGTAGCAGTAGTAGTAGCAGTAGTAATGTAGAATAGTAGTAGCAGTAGCAGCAACAGCAGTAGCGTAGTATAGTAGTAGCAGTAGTGTTGTTGTGGTGATAATGATAATGGTGATTTAGAAACTTAAGCCTGTCGGCCTATTATGCACTTACATCTTTATTCGTTAAGTTGATATTCAATACGGTTTCAATGAAATCGAAGTAGACAAGAAGAAGCTCATCATCCAGCGTGTTAATCGACATGTTCATCACTTGGTGAACCGATGAAACATATGCATTTACGCACGTTACACTTTTACAATCCCACATATTCTCGATATGGTTACTTATGAGATTATTAGCAGACGTCGTGGTAAAAATAGAGGAAGTTAAGTGATTAGATTCGCTTGATCGTGGCTCATCTAAAAACGACTGACTACCCTCTGAACCATCGCCAATGTGCCTCGGTCTTGTAATATTATTATTATTAACGTGTGTTATCTCATGATCAGTAATCGGATTATTGGTAGTATGTGTGATCTCATGAGTGGTGATCGGAATAGCATCATTATTATTAGTATTATTATTGATAACGTGTGTTATCTCATGATCAGTAATCGGATTATTGGTAGTATGTGTGATCTCATGAGTGGTGATCGGAATATCATCATTATTAGTATTATTATTGATAACGTGTGTTATCTCATGATCAGTGATCGGATTATTGGCAGTGTGTGTGATCTCATGAGTAGTGATCGGAATATCATCATTATTATTAGTATTATTATTGATAACGTGTGTTATCTCATGATCAGTAGTCGGATTATTGGCAGTGTGTGTGATCTCATGAGTAGTGATCGGATTATCATCATTATTATTAGTATTATTATTGATAACGTGTGTGATCTCATGATCAGTGATCGGATGATTGGCAGTGTGTGTGATCTCATGAGTAGTTGTTGGATTACTGCCAGCAGCAGGAGTGCTGTCCACAGTGGTTGGTATATTGGCAGTATTAGGAGCAGTTGTCGGATCGATGGCATCAGCACTGTGCTCTGTGGTCAGTTGAATGACAGTAGTAGGAGCAGTTATCGAAATAAAGTTAACTGGAGTTGTCTCAGTAAATGATGGCATTGCAGTACTACGCTGATCTGGGCTACTTGATAACATGACCGAGATGCTCTCTATTAATTAAAAAATGGTATAATGTACAATAAAGAGATAATGTTTTTGAACGTAAGAAGAGGGGTGTTAAATAAAAGTGACTCCAAACTCTGGGATTCAAACTCCGACATTTCTGCCATAACGTTACAATACTATGGCCTTGACAAACAGGGAAATGAGCTCTTGCATTTGAAAACTGGTCTTTCACATTCTTTTGCGCATGTGTAGTAAATGGATATTTCTTGTATTTTTTAAATTAATTTCTTTTTAACTTTAGGCACAAACAGCTATCTTTACATTTCTGGTAATACGCACAAGAATTTTTTAAATTGTATTCTTTTTTTTTGTTGGGGGGGGGGGGGGGGGGGGGTAAAGATTGTCATTATATTTATATACTTAAGTATAAAGTTACTTTCTAATTTTGCAATGATATTCAAATATACCAAAACTGATAATAAAAAACTCAGAATTAACTGTCTGAAATAATAGTTAGTAGGCCTACTATGAATTATTGTTTAGAAACGATTATTAAAAAATATAAAATGTGATTTACATTGTTTAGAAAAGTAAGTCGATTACGTTTTAAATATGGTTTTGATAGTAAAGAAGATGTACTGTACTTAAATTTGATTGCTGACTAAAATGATAAACGCACAAGATTACAATACATGGACTGGTGTGGAGTTTTTTTTTTCTTATCGTGGCAGAAATTTAACCCAAAGCCCTAAAATTGGAAAGCAAGCATCTTTCATTCCAAGTTATTTGGCTCCATAATACCTGTACTGCTTGATCAAAAATGTGTAAAATCAATTACCAACAGTGTCTGTTGCTGGACATCCGTATAGTTCAATCCTCAATCCGGGAAGTGTATTCTGCCAGTGCGTTCCGGTAAATGTCAACTTGTGGCAAATTATTGATTTTGGTAGCAAATTATACCGGACGTGGTTAGGCTGAAAATTACCTGGAAACTACATACGTGACAAATAATCACTGTGTTAAGCACGTGTCCACACAACAAGATGTGACTTATTGACAAACTAGGCGTAGCCTACAGTGTTAAGCACTGTTCACACGATCAATATGTAACATTGACAAACTACAGTGTAAAGCACTGTCCGCACTATCAAAATGTGACATTGACAATAATAATAATAACAATAATAATAATAATAATAATAATAATAATAATAATAATAATAATAATAATAATAATAGTAATAGTAAT